TGCATATGATAATCTAGAGCTTAAAAACTAGGTTTACTTGGCATTGGTGACGACCAGTATTTCTTCAGATTCGTTCATGTAGGTCCTCGTCCTGCTTGATTCTATTGGCTTTCCATCTCTGCCAAGATGGGCATAAAAGCAAGAACTCCCAAATGGACAAGGAGTGGCTCCCTGCCGAAAATGTCGGCATGGTATTGACCTAGGAGATTATCATATGCAAAGGAAAGCTACCTAAGCTTGTTTTTATAGTTTTCTATGACAAGAGATTTTTGTGCCTGATCTGCGCACCAAATCAAAGATGGTGTAATGAAGTGTGTATTAACCCTGCAAATGGGACAGGACCTACATATTGAAGAATCGACGTTTTGAGAAGCCCTCCATGACCTGATACACTCTAAGCAAAAAGGATGATTGCAATTCAGTAGGCCAAATTTTGTTATCCCATTTACAGGCAATGGTTCCAAACAAATTCCACATTCAAGCTCACAGGTTTTGCTATCCGCCAAGCTGTGTTCAAAAAGGTTGGCATCAAGTTTGTCGCCACAAGTATCCTTGCATTGAGAAATGTGAAGTTCTCTTGCCCGAGAATCAGAGGGATGTAGGATAAATAAAAAGCAATGTGGACATTTAAGTCCATGGTAATATATACAACGATCGCCAAGAGTACAAGTAGCGGTTTCGGACCCAGGACAGATTTGATCCAACTTTCCATTCATATTTATAGTATGCCTATGGCCCCCCTTCAAAGAATCTGCAGAAGAATACATCTTAGCGTTTGTTTTTATAGGAAGTGAAGATTTCAGTGCAGAGGAATACGAAGCTGAGGGATATTTTTTCTTCGACTCCAATGGTAGCTCTTGGCCCCCTATTTTTGGGTAGGGGAAGCAAGCAATTTCCTGCTGAGAAAATGTGGCGGGCTCATTTTCCGCTCGAAGATCAAAGGAGCCTATGGAGCTTCTGGAAAAAAACAATGACCTTTGTTCTTGTAATTCAAGCTCAAACAACTGGGCTTCGTCCGGCTCATCAAATAATTTCCCTTCATATGAATGGTCCTCGAAACAAGCATCGGTGGTAGTGGATATGGGGTCTGATTTTACCGAGTTTTTGGAATTCTCAAAAAACTCGTCGTTGTCTAGCTTTATGGCAGCAATTGTATCCTTTTCAGACTTTAGAAGTGGGCTTGGAAGAGAATTTGAAGATTTTGTATGAAGGAAAATACATTTAGAACCATATTTACAAGAACCCTTTTGATAGTAAGTACATACAAGTGGTGTGTTCGGTATATTCTGGCCGTTGCCCTTTGAGAGCTCAAGATGATTTTTCAGTTCCTTATTTTTAAAATGGAGGTATTTACACGACTTTCCAGCAGTACAGCTTCCAAGTAGGTAAAATTTACACGGCAAAGGGATGATGCCATTTGAGTGCTTGCTTGACACGTTGGTATTTCCTCCTGCATGCTGGTCAGATGTATTTCGGTCTCTAGAAATAACGGTCCAATTAGAATCCCCCATAAGCCTGAAAATTAATTCGGTTGCAATTTATTGTTTACAAACCTCGGGGCCGATTGAACAGATTCCGTATTTAAAATACTGGGACCTGTTGATTTCGATCCTTGACTGATCATAGCAATAATTTACGACCATCCCCAAGCTGCTTTCAATTAGTTTTTCGCTAAAGGCTACTTTTAGCAAAAGTTACCTAAAATCCCCGAGGACGACAATATCCCAAAATATTGCACCATTTCCCAAGTGAAAATTTGCTATAAAATGTCTGGTCTCTCAAGCCTTACCTACCGGGTCTATGCATCTGTTATTCCTTCTGGCACCGACAATGTATCTGTATATGAGTCTTTTAAAAAGAAATTGAAGATCCTCTTTCTGATAAGGCTCGATAAATGCTTGCAGCCTTTCTTTTGTGATTGGAGTGCAGGATAAAAGCAACTTTAGATCGAACAGAAATCCTAGAGGTACAGCGTAGCAGGAGATCTTATTTTCAAGCTCATCCTCTTGCTCTTTAAGCCATTTTACGAATCCAGGAATCGGCGAAAAGGTGATCAATCTCTTCACAGAGGGGTAGTTCCGTTCAAGTTGATGGGTAACCTCTTTCAACAAAGTGGATCCAAGAGATAGTCCTGTTAGCCCTAAAACTGAATCCAGATTTTTTACCTTTATGGGGAGCAGAAATTGAATAAAAGATCACCTGCTGAGGCTTTTCTTTTGCAAAGGGAGAATGCCCGTCCCATTGCATGCAAGTGCTGAGAAGATTATCAGAAAAGAATGCAATCACAAAAGCAAGAGGTTCCTTCATGATGGATGAAGAAAATAAAGCATAGCACGTCTTTGGCCATACCAACCTGGTTTTCAATTGAGCCAAATTTTCGGACGGCCTGATAATGTCATTCTTTTGGATCTAAAACGGGGTTAGGGTGAGCCGTTTCATTTACGAATTGCAATATTTTTTCATTTGAATTAGCGGTTACTTTTGCGCATCGAAGTTTACGCTTTTTCAAAGTTGCTGCCTGCAGTTCCATCAGTGCTTTATCCAACGCCTTCAGGCTGTTCTTCTCGGCAGCAAAAACCGCAGATGAGCATTTTAGCAACTAAATTAATGATCGAAATTACGTCGATTACTTGAAGAAGCCCTCTTAATTTCATAATTCTTTTGAAATCATTGCGATTTAACGCACAGAAAGATCGATCCAATTTGAGGATGGGCTCTGTAAATCCCGATAAAAGAGTTGATATTTTTTTCTAAAGCCGGAATGATTGTCTTATGATTCTTACCCATGAGAAAGGTCTCCATCTAATTTCTTGCGTCATTTTAGTGCTATTTTCTGTTGCGCTTTTGCAGAAGCAATGACTTAACATCTGGCGAACGGGAGATGTCAAGCGCCGACGGAACATTTCAAATTTAAATAATAATTTTAATGCTTGGATATCAAATCAGCCTGTAGCCGGTTGGCTATGTTTGGAATTTGGGAGCCCTTTTTTTCCTTGCTTGGTAATTCCTGGTGATGCGCTTTTTGGTTGGAAGGGGCGCATTTGGATGGCTTTTCTTATCCATAAGTTTTGAAAATCCGGGAATCTTTTCCGAGTCAATATCGGCATTCAAGCTATCCTGGTCTGAGGGCAGAATGGTGATATTGGACCTAATATTGTCGTATATGCCCCTGACATTACATTCACCGCCCGGTCGTCCATAAGCAAAGTCTAAAAGAGTGTTGATGGCATCATTGCGTATTGACCATATTTCCCGTTTTCCCCCTTTGAACGAATCCACATCTTGTGGTCGTTTGCAAAGAGCATTTAGCTTTGAGCGCAAATCCCATCTCTCGGCATTTACAACGGATAAATATAGATGTTGAATGGCCTTCAAACTGGGCGGGTCAATTTTGGCTTTATCCATCTGGTCGATGTACGAAACAGCGGTGTCCAGCTGCTTGGCATTGGCCGCTGTATCGATCAAATAGTGCCAAGCCTTTCGAGTTATCATATTGAAATCGTCGACTTTGAACTTTAGCTTGGAGGCAGAGGCAAAATCGCCGGTTCTCATATAAAACAAGAACATGTGCTGATATGTGTATTTGTCGTGTGCAATATTCATTATTGCAAACTGGTTGTGGAAAAATTTCTCAATTTCTGCCTTTTGTCCATGTGTTGCCAATATCGAAAGATAATGATTCAAAATGAAGGGCTCCATTTTTATGTAGGAGTATTTCAATGAAAGAAGATTCCAAACATCCGTAGCCTGCTTGACAATATCTGTCGGAAGCAGGTCGTAATGGAAGGAGATTTTTTTACGCTTTGCGTCCCTTTTTGAGATAGGAATATTGGCCAAAAGCCGGAACATCGCCGCAAAGGAGTAAATGTTTGGTCGATCCCAATTTCCTGTTTTATCCACGCCAATCAAAACGCTCCAAACCTTGTAAAACGCCTCTAAATCACAATTGATGGCGTGGGCTTGAAGCATGAAATTACACAAATTCAAGTGAAGCGGCCGTCCAGAGTCATAAATACGCTTTATAATTGCAAAGGCTTGTTCTTGAAATTCTTTTTTGGATGCACATGCATGAAGAAGGCTTTCTAGCACATGGTTTGATGGGATAATCGATTCAGACTCCATATCTCTTACGATCTTTAAAGCACGTTCGATTTCAAAATTCTAAAAAATCAAAATCGTCAAACCGACTTACCTTTGCGCACAAGTCAATCATCAATGAGTACGTGTACATTGGCAAAGTGAATTTTGACTTGGCCTCGTAGAAAATGCTCCATGCCGTTTTAACGGCTGCCTTTTTAATCAAAGCGGAGAGCAGTGAGTTTAGGATCGCCGGGGGTGGCACCATATCATTTACACGCAAATGACAATACATTTGGAGAGCATCGGATAGCCTTGACGCCTTGATATGAGCTTCTAAAACCAGAGAATATAGCCAGAGGCTTTGTCCAATTTGAAGCTCAGTGCATTTCTTATAAAGGGCTATAGCAGCGTCTGGATCTTTTAGTCTGATTGATGCTAGCAGTGCATAATAAATATGAGAATAAGAAACACTAATATCGCCCTTTCCAACCATCTCGTCAATTAAAGAGATCGGGTGGATAGGGTTATCTTTTGAAATCTGCCCGAGCCTCCTAATCCATGGGCACGCCATTGAAAGGGGTTGTGGGGCGTTGGGACGCGAATCGACCAAAGTGGAAGCTTTTCGCTCTGTAAATACACGCTCCTCGTGCTTATAAGAGGAGCAAGGGGAAGAGGAAGTCGTTCCGTTCTGCTCCGAACCAGCATATTGCGGTTCAGGTAAGGGAATTTGGTATTTAAATGGATGGTCAGAGAAATTTTCAAGGCTCACCGCAGATAGCAACGCTCGCAATCGAGGGGTTGAATCGTTGCTCATAAGAAACCTATAAATGGTCGACTTGTCTTCAATGGGCATCGTCCAGTCTGTTTTGCCTTCAAATGGGCATTTCTTTGTTTGTGGAATTGAATCCTTTTTCTCGCCATAAACAAAATCCTTTAGCTTAAATTTGTTTTTCTTGATCCGCCTAGGAGTGGAGGAGCGAGCTGTGCGGGAATAAAGCGCTCTGCACGAATACAAGAGCATTTCGAATTTTTACTTCCAACCCTTGGAAGTTGAATTTAAATCAATTTTATCGCCATGGATGAGGATTTTGTTCACATAAGCAGCGATTCGTATATTTCACATGTGCTATTTATGTAGGATTTTGACGCTAATCTTGGATTTCCTGAGGGAACATTATCCGGAATTGGATATTTCCTCAATAACGAATGTACCTTCAATGGAGTAAAAGTTTAGGCTTGTCAATCGGGCACCAGTCCGCCAATGCCAAACGACATTTGCAAGAAAATGATGGCTGGAAATTGGGGTACAGTTCTTGAGATGCTTCCAAACATGCATATTTCGTCTTCACTTAAGTATGAAACGTATCAGCAGGTAGCTTTTTAGGGTTTTATTTAGACAATTCTAGAGCTCATCCATGTTAAAGAGTACGGTGTCGCCAACTCGCTCTTGAAGTACATAAAGGGCGCATTGAAGCTAAAAATTGATTCTCAGCTTCATTGGATTGAATCGCTTATTTCAACTCCATCTACACTCATCACCACTGAAGAGCTCGCCGAAAGGCGAGAAAGGCTCGTTTCAAGTTTAGATAGTTCTTTTAGATCATAGAATATGAAAAGGAAATGCTTCCTGCTACGCCTGCTGCCTCTCTTTTAGAGGCTATCGGTGATTCATTGCGATACAAATTCTTGCTCTCTCAAAGGCTCAAGACCCCGTCTCTCCCTTCTCTTCCAGCTCACATTGGATCTCATAAAGTTCGACATGGATTTTCTTATGATAGTTTGATTTGGATTATCGTGTTGAGTCTGCTGCTTTTTCAAATGATGGCTTGTGCTTGTTTCTTGGCACCAAGGATGGCTTTATCGAGGCTTGGGATCCATTTTTGATGAAGCCAAACCAAACGGGCTCACCGATGATCTTGAAAGATTCGTATGCCCTATCTATGGTTTTTCATCCAATTTCTTCATATATTTTTGCTGCTGGGAGCAGCAATGGCGAGATATCCGTAGGGCCATACCGACTTATGTTAGATTTGGAATTTATCGACAAATATGCCAACTTTGATCTTCAAGGTGTCTGACCATCCAGTTTCTACGCTTCGTTTTACTAGTTCTGGAAGCAGTCTTTTGGCGTCCGTGTCTAGCAATTTTAACATTTTGTATGCTTGGTGATGCTTACTTTCAGACTCTATGCCGCCTCTTCTGGAGAGCTATTACACCAATTTTCGGGACACAAAGGAAATGTCATCGATTTTTTGCTGGTCAATGGCGACAAGACTTTAATTAGCTCCTCCTTTGACAATACAATCAGGGTACTATTGCGGACATCTTATGCCTGTAGATATGGGATTTTGAGCTTGCAAGATGTTATGCAGTGGTTGATAGCTTTGCTTGCCCGCCGCTTGTTGCCTCATTGAAAAGGTTCGATGAAAAGTGTTTTTCGTGCTTCAATTCCGATTGCATTTATATATTCGACTTTATGGGAAAGGTAAGCCGGTTGTCTGACTTACAAGCTTATCCAAAAATTCTCGATCCCGTTTAATGCCAATGAGAGACATATTGTGGGGGTCTTCGCTCTTTCCCTGCATTCATTCGGGGTCATTTCAAATGATACTTTACGAAGAACCTCTAAGCTTTGGATTGTCAATGCGGACAATTTGACCGAAATAGCATGTGTAAATATAAACGACTATGTTTCTGGATTCGTCTTTAATGGCGAAGGATTGGTCCTATATTCTGCAGCGGGGAACTTGACCTTTTGGCACTTTGATGTGTCCATCGGTAAATAGGGAAATAAATAAGTTTATTGGGTTACTTCTTACCTTTTGATTTTTTAAAACTCACGCCCTCAAATCCAGGTCTTTTCTTGGCATTGGATGCGGGTTTCTTTTGCGTTCTCTGAGTGCCCAGCTTCTTTTGGGTCCTCTGATTTTCAGGTTTTTTTTGGGTCCTCTGATTGTCCGGCTTCTTTTGAGTCTTCTGGCTTTCCAGCCTTTTTTTCCATTCTTTAGTGCTTTTTTCTTTCTGCTTCTGTTTCCTTTTGAGTGCATTCCTTAAGATATTTGGATCGTCCACGATCTTTGCTCCTTGTACCCTTGCTATGGCATTGGACCAAGCCTCTTTTTCTACGATTTGAGCCGCCTTTTCGGGATTGACTTTTTCTAGTTTTTGAAGCTTGGCTTTTTTCTCTAATAGTTTTTGAATGGAATGAGACAGATCTCTCTTTATGGGAACGATGGGTGCAATTTCGGTCTTTCCAGAAAGGTCAAATTTGCTTGTCTTTTTTTGGGCAACACTCGGGGATACCATTTGATTTGTGGCGTCTTTTTCCTGTCTGCGGTTAGCCAATGCCTTGTTTTTTTTCTGAGAAAGCTTTATCTTCTTTTTGGAGTGCGGCTCCGTATCTGGCTTAAACTCGCAGGAATTTTGCTTGTTTTTGGCAATCGCTATTTTCCTAAGCTCTGATCTCGATGGCTTGTCTGAGGAAAGCCGAACATACGAATTCTTTTGGACAGAAGATTGTTGCTTATTTTGGATTTCTCCTATTTTCTTCGAAACAATTTCTTTCAACTCGGCAGCCGATAGAGATTCTTTGGCTTCAATTTTTGAAGATTTTTGGCGCTCTTTATCTGGATTGGCTAGCTTGAAAGCAGGAATAGTGGAGCTGCTGCTGCGCATATTGACAAAATATTTGCGCGCGCCAGAGGTCAAAGGCCCATCGAACACCGCGTTTTTATCTGTCAGTTCATCATCTGAATGATCTTCATTTTTATGGCGTTGGAAATTGAAATGAGATGTCATGCTGGAAATTAGCATGGAAAAGTAATCCAAGTCATCGAGGGTACAAAGAGAAGCCATTAAAAAAAATCTGTAAATTTTATTCTAATGAAAAATCCATCTATTAAATGCATTTAGCACCCTTTTGTCAAACTCGGAGTTTTCCTTGATCGATAGCGGGTGGAAAAACGGAGATAAAAAGGTCTAAATGCTTTAGCGGAATCAAGGTACAATAAGAAAATACTCGTGAACGTCCACAAGAAAGGATTTTATATTCGACTCTGGGGTCGGGCTGTGCAAAAGAACAAACCGGACACCTTGGATAGTTAGTTAAATACGGCATCACATTGGCCAAACCTGATGGTAATACATAGGCAGATATGGAGATGTCTCGCATTTTGTCTATTTGCCTCAAATATCTAGTGCATTAAGATGAGTTGGCGCGGTTGACCTACGTTGTTGATGAGTGTTTTTTGATTTCATCGAAAAAGTCGAGCGAGGCATACAGTAGAAACTGGCCATTGGCTTCATCCAATTCTGAAGACTACGGTTATAACGACATGTGCTACAGTATCGTATTTTTTAAACTCGTATAAAAGATTATCGTTGCCATCGACTATACACAGATGGTATTTCATATGGAAATTCAAAGCTCACGCGGAAATTTTAATTCTGGCCGTCCACTTTTTGGTTTTGGCCAAAATTTTAAATTAGCAATAGCTAATAGCTAACCCGTAAACTAAGATTGGGGACCGTTTTTAAAATGACATCGTCCGAACAAGCGACCACCGAGCAAGCCCAAGCTCTTATTTTAGATGCTCTGCAGCACAAAGAAAGCATCGCTTCCACAGAAGCACTCTTTTCCGGCCGTAACATCGACAACAATATTGTTTTCGGAGCGCTAAAGAGCCTTGCGACATATGAAAAGATCAATTACGAATCGATTGAGTCGGAAAAGTGGACCATTACTGATGAGGGCTCTCAAATCTGCACTTCCGGAAGCCACGAGTATCGTGTTCTCATGCACGTCAAACAGGCGATGCCAACTGGAATTACCTCGTCCGAGCTGGAGGTAACCTTTAGGGCTAGGGTTATTTTTAGGCTAAACTTGGCGTCGAGCCTGCGAAAATCGGCCAATCCATTTGCTTCAAAAACAAGTGGATCCATCTAGAAAATGGCCGTTTACTTTCCTCTCCTAAAGCATCCGAATGTGATGAAGATCGTACGGCAACATTGCTCTCTAGGCTTCCTTGCGCTTTGGAGGGATTAACACTGGCTGAGAAGCAGTCTTTTGTTGATCTCAAGCGAAGAAAGCTTGCCGAATTGACTAGGGTTACCACATACTCGGTAAGTAGGGGCCCAAGATTTACCGATGAAATCGAAAAGCCATTTCTTGAACTTACTGCGCACATGGTTGCTTCTGGCTCATGGAAAGACCGCCCCTTCAAGCCCTACAACTTTGACTCGGACGGTCCAAAAAGACCCTGTGGTCATCTTCATCCGCTGCTGAAAGTTAGAAGCGAATTCAGACAAATTTTCTTTGAAATGGGGTATGTTTTCCGGTTTCCAACTTTTGGTTCTTAGATTTTCGGAGATGTCTACCGATAGGTTTGTGGAAAACTCCTTTTGGAATTTTGATGCTTTGTTTGTGCCTCAGCAGCACCCGGCGAGAGATTCTCAGGACACCTTTTTTACGGAAAGCCCAGCAAAGTCTGCAAACCTTCCCGAGGCATATGTTGCTCAAGTTCAAAAAATCCATATGGAGGGTGGATTTGGATCTCTCGGATATCGGGCACCATGGTCGGTTGAGGAGACTCAAAAAAACGTCTTAAGAACCCATACCACGGCAGTTTCTGCCCGAATGCTCTATGCTCTCGCAAAAGAGGTAGTTTGCGGTTTCTAATTGCAGCCAAAATTCCGGCCCGTCAAGCTCTTTTCGATTGACAAGGTGTTCCGAAACGAATCTGTCGATGCTACGCATCTAGCAGAGTTCCACCAGATCGAAGGGGTGATAGCGGATGTAAACTTGACTCTTGGCGATCTGATGGGGGTGCTAAATTCGTTCTTTTCAAAATTGGGCATGAAGAACCTGAAATTCAAGCCAACTTACAATCCGTACACTGAGCCCAGTATGGAAATCTTTAGCTTTCATGAGGGTACCGATGTGTTCATACTTTAATTTAGGGTTACAAAAGTGGATTGAGGTCGGCAACTCTGGCATCTTTCGTCCCGAGATGTTGAGGCCAATGGGCTTTGATGAGTCAGTGTCCGTGCTCGCCTGGGGGCTGTCCCTCGAAAGGCCGACCATGATCAAGTACAAAATCAATAACATTCGAGATCTTGTTGGCCACAAGGTCGACTTGAACATGATCTACAGCAATCCAATTTGCCAGCTCGACAAATAAAGGTCTTTTACTTGAGAATTTATTAAAAAAATCCCCCAAATGGGATCATCTTGCAGTGACGAAATAAAAGAAGGACCTTTTTTAATGGTCAATGGAGGTGGCTTTTAATTTCCAGTTGCTTTGGAAGAAACCGTTTTGACCTTGCCATCGGGGATAAAGATAAGCCTTAAAGTATTGCCGGCAGCATCTTCAGAATGCGAGTCGACAATGTAGAAGCCAAGCCGTTCCAATTGAATGATATCTCCAACCTTGAGAAGCGACATTGCGGGCTCACCAACAGCTTCCATTACAAACTCGGATTTTGGCGTGATAAAGTCTTCCAGCTTATCATTCTCTTCGAGCTTCTTCTTCGTGATGAGAAAATCGTAGTCAAGTAATTGGATGGAGGCAAGACATGGTGATTTGGAGATCCAAGTGATTTTCTTTTTGGTATCTTTCACGCTGCCATCAAGGTTGAGCTTTGCAAAAATACAAAGTTTGCCATCACACGAGTCCGAGGTATTTTCAGCAACTCTGGTAACGATTAAATTCCCCCATTTCATGAGAGTGATCTCTTCCCCAACCGAAAGGTCCTTGGCATCCTGATGAGATATCAGAAGATTTGATGAAAAGCAGACGTTTTTGGTGCCAAATTCCGGGTTTTTTGGGTGCAGATTGATCTCTTTGTTTTGGGGATCCAAGGGGCCATCTTCGATGATCAAGCTGACGGGATCAGTAAGCGCGGTGTATCGATGAGCCATGGGGTCGATAACCTTTTTGTTTATGGCCCAAAGTTTGTCCCATTCCAGAAGAAGCGAATTTTTAGATGCACCCTGCATAAGGATGTAATGCTTCAACGCAGAAAGCGTCAGCCCTCTTCTAAGAATGCCCCTTACGGTGGGGAACCTAGGGTCATCCCATCCAGATACAATTCCAGAGTTTACAAACAAATTTAGCTTTCGTTTCGAAAGAAGAGTGTAAACGAAATTCAGCCTTGAATAGTCCCAAATAAAGGGGCGGCGTAGGCCAAGTGCTTGGATGAACCAATAATACTGGTCGTTTCGGTCGTGATACTCATTTGTTCGAAGAGCATGGGTGACTCCTTCAATAGAATCGACTATGGGGCATGCAAAGTCATACGTGGGATACACCTTGTACTTGCTACCGGTGCGATGATGGGGCATTTCAACGCAGCAGCGATAAATAACCGGATCGCGCAAGGCCTTATTTGGAGAATCAACGCTCATTTTCGCACGAATGCAAAATACTTGTGCATCATCGTCGCCGCGAATCATCCTCTCAAAAATGGCCTTGCTTTCGTCAGCGGAGGTCTCTCTTCTTGCAGAGGCAATGCCAGAAAATCTGCCTTGGCGCATGGTTTCTTGAGGGGTATCGTCTGCGTAAGCAAGCCCATGGTCTATCAATTTAAAAGCAAATTCGATGAGCTGGTCAAAGTAGTCTGATGTGTAGGAAAGAATGTCTCCTCGCACGCCTAGAAGAGCTAAATCTTCAATGATGGACGTTTCGAATTCCATCTTTTCTTTGAGCGGATTTGTGTCATCAAATCGAATGATTAGCTTTCCCCCGTACATTCTAGCAAAATACTCGTTGAGCAAAGCGGCTTTTGCATGGCCAATGTGAAGATATCCAGATGGCTCTGGTGGAAATCTGGTGACAACCTCGCCATATTTTGCCCCCTCCAGAGAGATGTCAAATGAACCTTGATCCTTGGAGGAGGTGGCCGACTCGGGTTTAATTCTTGAATTGGAAAGTTCTGAAGCGAGCTTATCAACAGCACAATCCATCGCAAATTAAGTTGCACTTGCACAATTTAATTTATTTTAATTTTATGTCTGTTGCCAGTGTTAATGCAGAAAATGTTTCCAATCTTTCGGAGATAGAAAAACAATGGTCTGTCAAGGCAATGCAACATGCAGAGGTCTATTTCAAGCTAATCAACAACACAAACCCCTCGACGCTTCGGCTAACGAGGTATTTTAGCTGATGCTCTGATTCTAGAATCGATGATGAGCTATATTCGGATTTTAGAAGCCATTTCCCCGATATGGATGTTGATCTTCTGACGCCTGAAGTGATAAATGCCACTCCCGCAATAAAAGAAAAATGGAGGAATTTCCTGATGCCCTATCAACATCGAATAGCCAACTTTAACTTTGGAACTCTTTTACGATTAAGCGCAGCGCACGATTATACGGAAAAAAACACGTATTTTGGTATCGTCAGTAAATAGCTAAATCGTAGTTACAAGGACGCAGTTTTATGCCATTGAAGTGGCCCGCAACCGAGAAGGCATCAATGAACGATATTTCCACAAAAATAAAAATTGCTAAATTTTAAATTTCGAGCAGCATATCATGCCGTCTCCATGCACGTTTACCGGAGACCAGAAGGATGGTTAGTCGCCCGCATTGGCTCATTATTTTAGCGATGAGGGCATTGTCAGATGTGCTGTCCACCCGGCTAAATCACGACACTTTGGAGGCATGCGTTGAGCTTTGTGAGTTGGGCGTCAATCCAGAGGCGCTTTCTGCCCTGATCAAAGAGTTTTCGATCATCCAAAACTCGTGAAACGTACCAATGTATTTGGTATAGCATGGTTCCAATCGGTTGCGCAAATAAACACAACCCTGCACCCCTTTACAATAAACACCCCAATGATGCGATGTGGACATGCTTGTTGGCATTTCTATTTGCTACTTTTTTGACTAATTGAATTTAAACCTAACCCCAACCCTGCCCAACCTCAATGCGATCCCCAAAGTCCGGTGCATCCAATTCGATTTAAATTCACGTAACCATCCAAATTCGCCACTCTCATGTCAGATTCTCCCATCTCTAAGATCGAATCTCGCGGAAAATCAGACTACATATTTAAGCTTGCCTTCATTTCCAATTTTCTGGGCTTGATAGCCTTCTCTTTATATCATATCATAAGATTCGGCGGCTCCGATTTTTCCACTGCGATGCTTTTTTTCCAGCAATTACTGGTTTTTTTGGATCTAAATCCGAAGGCCATCGATGATGTTGTGTTCAAGGATTTCGGATTGCTCTTGAAAATCTTGCTTCCCGTAAACCTGCTATCTCTGATCCTTACCTTTCTATTTTTTTATTTATTCTACTTTTTCCCTGTTTTTTCATTTTGGTTTTCTGTTGTCACATCATTGCTTATTTCGCTGTGCGCGTCCGTATACTTTGCATTGTTTGAGAACTACCTTGCTTCTGGAGCTATTCTTCTCATTGTCTGTTTTTTTATTTTCCTATTAGCCCTGTACGGAAAAAACCACATAAAAGTGGCCTTTTTCTTCAAGAGCACGTTGTTTATACTTTACAAGGTCCGATGGATTGTGGTCTTGCACTTGTCTTTGCTATTTATCCATGTGTTTCTTGCCCCTCTTTTGTTTTGTCCTACTGATCATTTACTGGACTCTCGCGAGAACATTTCCCTTTGGTCGTTTTCGTTTCAAATGGCTTACTTGAATTTTTCTAGCGGATGGATAGAAAGCTCCATCACGATTTTTGTGCAAATGGTATCCACCACACTGATATGCGGTCACCTTTATCCGCAAACGGGCACAACCTCCCTAACTAGCGCCTTCAAGCGATCTTTTAAATTGCATCTTGGGCCGATTTTCCAAATCTCGCTCATCTTGGCCATCATCAACACGATGCTTGGTTCGATCGGATTGGCCTCGGACTCCCTGTTAGCATATTGGATTTTTTTAATCATTGCGAGTTATCTCGATCTATTCATCCGGATTATCGGCATAAATATCTCTCTATTAAATAAGGGAGTTTCAGGGGCTTCCTATGCAACGTTTGCTTTATTTAAAAGATGCCCAAAGCCCGTCATCAGCATTCTTCACTTGACTGTCTTGAGTAGTTTATGTCCGGTTTTATTTAGTCTTGTGATTACTGATACTGTGACCAATATATTTCACACCTACTCAAACGTTCCCGAGGAGTTTGTTCTTCTGGCTTCAATTATTCGCTGTAAAAGCTTGCTTGTGCTTAGCATGACGTTTTCAATAGTTTGTCTTTCTGTATATATTTTATATAAGAACGATAAAAATTGCATCCAACACTTGCCCGGCTATGATGAGCTTATGCTTCCCTTAAAGAAAGGTGCTAGCGAGGAAAAGGCTACCGCCATTTAAATAAACCTTGACGTTCAAATGTCGTTTATTAGTCACGTCCCGAATCGTTGGCTGATGCAAGAGTAGCGCTTAAAAGCTTGTAGCAGCATATTGTTGTCGAGAACTTTGCACTTTTTGCAGCTAGGAAATTAAAAAAGCGGTCATTACAAAAACTCGGTAAACTTTATCAGTTGCGGCGGAATTCCATCCAAGGTGAGAAACTGTTGGTTGGAAACGAATAGGTCAACGTCACAGCCAAGGTTGTGTCCAAAAACACTGGCAAAAGAGCTTCGGGTGGATCCTGAAATGGCGGGAAGCTCGCTATGTTGTATTAATTCGTGTCCTTCATATGGCTTCCAAATGGAAATCAAAAGGCCTCGCCATGCCACTTGAAATTCGGGGGTGCATAGTTTGCAAGACGCGGAGTCTTCAAGGATTCTCTGTCCGGGTTGAAAGCATTTCAACACAGACCGGTAGTCTTGGAGGGACGTGGTAAAGATTGAGAGCTTTTTAACTTCCGATGCATCTATCAAATACGTTAGAAGCCCCAAAAGATCACATTCGCACGTGTTTGAAATCAAGATGCCCAGATGCCTGGGATACTTTACACCGATGCTTTTAATGGATGCACAATTGCCGTATATTTTGGAAAAGAACGAGACAAGATCAAACAGGCCCACCAGAAAATACTTGTAGGATATCCTTAAAATCATGGGTCGTTGCAATTAATTTAAATTTTTACATTTCCCACAATGGGACTACGAATCTCTAGCCCCCTGCTTCCAATTGAGGATCTTGAGGTGCTTTCCGCTTCGACAAAATGTAAATTGACCAGGCCCATTTTTAACCGTAGTGTCAAAAGAGCAAATCATTTCGCTTTACAAACGGTTTCAGCGGCTGGATAAGGATGGATCCGGCACGCTGTCACAGCAAAAGTTGATGAACATCCCCGAATTTGCTATGAACCCATTGGCACCCAGACTGGTGGCCATTTTCCAACAAGCACAGGCCAACCGGCAATTTCCAGCCAACTCGTCGGACCAAATCGACTTTTTAACATTTGCTCGTACGTTGTCCCAATTTTCGGACACGGCAAGTCAAAACGATAGACTTGACCTGGCCCTGCGTATCATCGACTGCGATTGTGACAGCCATGTGTCGATCAAAGATATTTTCAACATTTTGAAGCTGATGGTGGGCGACCAAGTTCCTGACGCCGAGCTGACGCCGATCTCGGAGACTCTTTTCAGCGAATTGGTGTGTAAAGCCCGGGGCTCCAAATGTGATCAAAGCCCACTGTCAAAGGATGAGTTTTTTTCCATTCTACTCGAAAGGCCTTCGTTGGACCTGTTAGCCTTGCCGATTTTACACGCTTAGAATAGACCTTAGATTAATAAACCACATGCATCAATGAAGGGACATGCTCTGGCGCTTAGTTCCAAATCAACCGGGTTTATTTTGTATATTTGAAAGAGCACGTCATTGGGCCCATGGCGATGGTGACGATGGAAATGGTAGTGCAATAAGCCACCCCTATGTGTCTACAAACTTGATTTTTTTTGGTGGCGACAATACAACAGATGAAGAGCTCTCGACAGATGTTAAATTGCCGGTTTCGGCAGCACCGTCAGTATTTAAATCGGCAGATTCATCAGACTCGAAAAAGGCACTGTGTGATAGATCACAAGCATCCACAACAGATGCCTGGGAAAGAGGAGGTGTTGACATTTGACTGCTCAAATTGTTCTCATCCAAAGATGCTTCAGAAGAGGCAGCTTTGCACGAATTTGCTTTACTGGGGGGTGACATGTTTACAAATCGAAAGGTAGGAACGGCTCTTTTACAGGAGGGCTCTATTGATCGGGTCCAAACGGGATCAATGTCGTCGATATCCTTTTTTTCTTGGATATTTAATGGAAGAAATCCTTCTTCTGGATCATAATCCGAGGCAAAGGTATTTTTTTCATCATCCTCTTGATCGCTGTCTCCGGATTCGTCCTTCAAGTTTGAAAAGAAAATGGTCTTTCCAAAAAACGGCACACAGGCGGCCAGGGACATGAATCGCTTATAAAATCTCCTGTTAAAGTAGGATTGCAAAAACAGATTATCGGTTCTGCATCCCATTTCATCGAATAAATCGATGAGCGTGGAGCACAGCAAATCGTTTTTCTTTGACAACAATTCCAATATGTCGACAAGGGGGTCCAAAAGGGACCTCCCAAATTTGACAAGCAATCTATTGTAGAATTCATCGCCAAGCCCCACCATTTGCCGGAGAATGGAAAGGGCTCCCAATAGAGCCTTCTTGTTTTCAATGGTGGCATCGCCTCGAACCATCAGATATTTTGAAACGCCTTCGTTTAGTATTGCCGAGTTTAGCAGCAAGTACTTGAACCTGTACCCCTGGGTGGACACCAGCAAGCTTAAAAGCTGCAATAAAATGAAGTGTAGCTCGGATGCTTTATCGCCACACGAAGTGCACAGTGGTTCAAAAAGATGCGAAAAAAGAGTTGAAGAATAAATTTTTGAAAGAAACTCGTCATATTCGATCAGTTCTGGCGCTGAAGAGCCAAGGATAGTTTTTAGGCATTGATAGGATGTCCATTGTAGCCCAAGATCGTTCGTGCTTACCAATATCGTTACGATAGACGAAAGAATGGGAACCGTCGTTGAGCTTTTGCCACCGCTATTACCGCCGCCCTTTACGACATATTCTCTTGATTGTGAAGGATAGAAATTGTAGACTCTTTGGAAGATTTCTAAAATACAATGGCCAAAAGTAGCATTGTCAGCACTTTCGCGGCAAAGCAGCTGTGCATCAATAAACAACAGAAGATCCGAGATCGATAGCAAGCGATAAAGTAGATGCTCCTTTCCCGTATTGGCAAGAACCCTTAACAGCTCATAAAGAAAGGTGACTATAGAAAAAGATGCCTTATCGCTGGGAGCCTTCAATTGGATGGATCTTGCAAGTAAACAACAAGCAAACACTTACATTATGGTTATCAGATCAGAGTCCTCCAGAAGAGCGGTGAAGATTTCTTCATACGACTCCTGAATGGATCTGTTTAATATCGAATATGTTTCTTCGGAAAAATATTTGCCACACAAAATCGTGTCCCTGATAAATTGAGCTCTGAACGTTCTTTTCACCACGGAATCAAGCTTTGCGGTGGGGTGTCCCACGTCAGAGAATATGGAGGAGCCCCCTTCTCCCCTTTGATGTGCAGACTTTTGTGCTGCCAATTGGTGCCGAGTTGAGCCCGATGAAGGCGAGCCGGCATCTAAAAACTAAAAGCTAACGTCAAAAATACACTCAAAAATGGCACAAATATTTTTGAAATTCTCCTCTTTCAAAATAAAGTCCAAGCAATCGCCCAAAACCAGCGGAACGATTAATTTAAATATCAGCGAGACCGTATTTAAATCTTTGGACTGCTCCAGCTCCTCCGCCGTGCGAAACACATCAAACAGAGACGAGATGTACGAACAATTCTAGATTGCTTTAGGGATCGAGTTTACATTGGATGACAGGGTTCTAGTGAGCCAAGACCGGTATACCCAAGACGAGGTTGGACAAAGCGCCTGTTCAATTAAATTTAAAATTTCGTCAAGTGAGCCTAAATTTGGAGATGGAAGCTCAAATTGAGAAATTGGAACGTTCTCAACATCTACTTGATGAGGCGCATCGGTTACCTGAAAAGGATTTGTCTGAATCTGCAGTGTCCGGATTATTTGCCATTTGTAGCGCCGTGATTTTGGCCCTTCATAAATTAGCGAATGCGAAGCAAGTACCAAAAATATTCACATCCGTTGGTATCCTCAAAGCTTAAAGCAAAATCGAAATCGGCCTCATCGGTCCATGCAATAATGGTTTCTTAGCGGCATAAGCAAAGAAATGAAATACCGTTTTCTTGTCGGTAAACAATATCCATTCCGATGATGGTTGAATAGAACACCTCGTGATCCTCCTCGCTTCTTACGGAGATGATATTTTCTCCCAGTTTCTAATGTTTAAAGGGTCCAGATAAAACCTCTGCATATGAGCAAACTCCTATTCCAATCTGCGTCCAGTTGTTGGAATCATCCAATTGAAAAACGATCGCTCTATAAAGATTTTCATCATGCAAATCTTCAAAGGCCGATGATGTGCACAAGTTGGGCGAAACAGGGGCTTTCCGTGGATTTTGATCTTCAATAGGATCGGCGCTCGAAAGTTTGCAAGACAGCGAATCGTCAGATGATGCCAATAGGACTCCTTGAGAGGCATCGCCAAGGGGTTCTTGTAATGAATCCAATTTGATACCTAAATTTTCATTGACATTCATAAATAGGCCGCACGTTTGTAAATTGTTTAAACAAAATTTAATTTCATGCCCCCATTGCTGCATGTGATAGCGGAGGACCGCAAAGGCATGCCGCCCTCAGTTGTTCGCATTGTGCGAGGTAAGGCTTGCCATATAACCGGCCCACAAGATCTCAACGAGCTATTGACATCCGACATCAAACCTTTGCAGGCAATTTCATATTCATTGGAGATTTCCGATGCTGCTCTTCCTTTTTGCACGATGTCAATTAAAATTTTTGAGGGTAATAAAAACAATGGCTTTTCAGTAGGGCTTCTTTCTGGCCTCGTTTTCAGATTCAAATTTGTATTCAAGCTGTCATATCCATATGATGCACCCAAAGTCTATTGCCTGAATGAAAGGGTACCTTTTTCAATGCATTCTCGTAGCGATTTCATCCAAACATCGATTCGGACACGGGGGCCGTTTGCCTGAACATACTTCGGCTAGATTGGAAACCCGTGCTTTCCATCAAATCGGTTGTCTTTGGGCTTTTGCTACTCCTATACGATCCATCTCCGGAGGATCCACTGGACAAAGGTAAATAGACTCTTGCAACTGGTAGATGCAGCTGCGCTCTTAAAAGCAGATCCGCTAAAGTTTTCGCAAATTGCCAAAAGTCATTTCCTGCAATAGACGTCGTATGCAGTTATTTTGCATCAATTTGAACGTCTATGGCTCTCGTGTCCACATATGTTGTTGTCAAACTGACCCACTAAGCGTTCAGGGAGAGGTATTTTATTGAAAATTTGGACATATCTAAGGTGCATAGTGTATAGATAGGCACACATCTCTGTTCCCCTTTGTTCCCATACTTATGGGCCTGTGGCTTAGTTAATTAAACCTGAAACCCCGATAGCTGTTGAGGTTTAGATGGACAAACACGCAAAGGGAGGATTGGTTGCATTGTGAGATGATAGGTAAATTTATTAGCCAAGTTAGTCGTCATCCGAAACTATAAACCCATCGCCCTCATCGTAAGAGTCTGAGGCGTTTTGTGGCGGTTTTGTGGCTCGCTTTGGCTTAATGGTTTTCGCAGCTCTAGATTTGGCTGCACTCACACCCTTTCCCTTGGAAGCCTTTGGTTTTATCATCTTATCTTTGACCAGGTCATTGGAAACTTCCTTGATCTCTTCATCATCTTCGGAGATATGTACGTCCTCAGTAGAAATAGCGTCCATTTGCACAGTACTTGCGGAGAGAGCGGCATTTTTCTTAACATCCGTAAGTGCATATGGCATTTGATGAAATTCCTTGTTGTACCTAAAAAAAGAATCGAATTTCCAAATACTGCCGGGTTAGTGTGGATTTTACATTTGATGGGATATTGTTGGAAATGATGGAGGCATCATACTTTCCAACCCCAAGCTCCATAATTGCATCGTAATCTTCCTTTGAGATTGTGTAGCGATCCAAATAGGCTATCACATCGCCAACGCCATTCTACAAAGTTTGACATTTAAAACGTACAACTCCCTTTTGGATTAACGTTGAGGCCATCAGAAAAACAAACGCCGGAAGGTATGCTTGTCGGATTTCCGATTTTCCACCCGTAACATGAAGGCATAGATGAATGGAGAGTTCTGTCAAAAGACGGTTGTTTTTTGTGCATTTCGAATTTTGCCCAAGCCAACTAGGGAAAGAGATCAACACGGTAAACAAAACCTTGCAAATTCGATTCGTCCACCCAACGAGCCGGAGCAATTAAAAGCCGGCACCACGCACGATAGAAAGCCATGAAAAGGAGCAAGGGTCCACAATTGATTTGCGCTTTCCATCGTTACAGAATGTCAATACTTACCCATGGATCCTGGCATCGACAATGTCTGATAATGAGAACGAGTCTGCTGCGGCACTAATTTTCTGCAAAGTTAAAAAATCGGCCTGTTTTTGCGATTTGGCATGCGGCAGTGTAGGCTTGCAGGCGACATAGTTTTCCTAAGTGGTTTTAATTTCGACCGTACCTGCATCATTAGTGGGACCAATGAAGAATCGGTAAAATAGAGCTCAAGTAGCTGGTTGATCGATTTTGAGGAAAACGAGGAGCGGGACATCAACTCGCCAATCACATCAAAAGGCCCCTTTTCCGTATCCTTTTTAGAGAGTTCAGAGCTAAAGGTAAACCTGTGCCCACGCTTACTATGACTTGGCCTCATCGTAGGAGAGGGAATCTTTTGTTAACAGCCATGTGCTCAAGATATTCAATATTTGCCGCATATCCCCATGTGTGGACGAGACAAGTTGGTCGACGATGTTTGCGGAAATCGGTAGGTTTTGTTTTCGACAAATTTCCGAAATCCTTGGAGCAATTTGACGGGAATCCGGTCTAAGCAAGCAAGAAGGCGTGTCTTACCTTCGAAATCGGATATCAAGACAGTAGTTGGCAAGAGAGCGCACTTTGATGCTCGATCTGTCATTACAAATACAAATGACGGGGATTTTTGTCTTTTTAAGCAGCACAATCAATTCTGCCATGCCACCGCGATCTCCCGCGGACATCCCGTCAACCTCATCCATGATTAGAAGAATGCTTTTGAATGGGGTTTTTGAGCCAAAGGAGGTCGTATTGGTTATCATCGTCTTATTGTCAAGAAGATCTTGGACTTCATTCTAAAGCTTGTAAATGAAAGAATACTTTGAGGCTTTTTTTGCTCCTTGTATCGCTAGCATTGAGCTCTACCGCCATATAGCCCTCGATTTTTGCTACCAGATTTGCAGCGGTGGTCTTTCCGATGCCAGGAGGACCCGATATAAGCGCCGCCTTGAACGTGGCGCCCATGGGGCCTTTTCTTTTCCTAGCCCTTGTAATCAGCAACACCTACCATTCTTGAAGCCATTGCCGCAGCTTTTGAACCTGGGAGTTGTTCCCAACAAGCTCGGAAAGGTCTTTGGGCATGTATTTAAAGGTCCACATGAGCGAGCTAATGCAAAATGTATGTTGAAGCTTACTCCAAACAAGCATCTGGGGCGCCTTTTTGAACTGGGGCTGACCTTTGCTTTGGAGGCTCTTTTTTGGCGCACATTGCAACATGGTCATCCTCGATCACTTCGCCATGCTCGGAACGTCTTGGCATTGTTTGGATCAATTTATAAAACTGCTCCTCATTAAGCAGAGAAAGCCCAAGTTGCTTGGCCTTTTCAATCTTCCCAGGCCCCGGGTCATCACCGACAACGATAAACGAAGTTTTTCCACTTGGGGCACTTGTCACCTTTCCTCCATATCGTTTCGATAGATCCTGAATCTCTTCTCTATTTAGTTGCGCAAAATTTCCCGTAAACACAAACGTCAATCCCTAAAAACATCAAGCATCACGAACCATACCAAAAGGCAGTTTTCTTTCCCCTCAATAGAAACCCCAGGATGGCGAGCACAGTTTGAGGCTTGTTTACTGAGAAGCTGGAAATAGCTACAAGGTAAAAAAATACCCCTACTTGAAGGCCTTTTTTTCTCCAACAAGAATGGCCTCGACGCTTGTTGTTTCAATCTTAGGGACTCCCTCGGTAAAGAACGAAACAGGCTTGGGTTTTTTCGAAGAGGCGTGATGAAATGGCTTCACAATCTCCAAAAGCTCATTTTGATCATCTGAGGGGTTATTCGATGAATGGGAAGATCGTTCATGAGCCTCAAACTCATCATCCGAAGCCACCGTTCGTTTGGAAGGAAAAGATTTCAAAGCATCCGTTGAAGCTGTTCGTTGCTGGAGTACTTCAAGCTCATCATTGAGAATCCGGAGTTTGGATTTTTGCTCAATAATACTTTTCAATGCCTCTTTATCGGGGTCGTTAAGCATGTGGGACGTATCGATGCTCATCAAGTCGGCATCCAGATCTTCATCGTTAAAAATATCCCCAATCGATGGCTAGGTAAATAAAAAATAACGAATCTACAGGAGTGTATGACTTTTTGGTTGTCATTCTGCTTGACTTTCGAATGGAGGGATTGGCCTGTTCAGCAGGCAAGTTATCCAATTCAATTGTCTCAATGTCTTTGATGGTAGGCTCATCTTGTAAAGATGGCTTGACATCCTCCAAATAACCAGCACTTTTCTTAATGGATTCCTTTGTCCCAAAAAAGCTCCTCAAAGACTAAATGTCAAAATGGCACAAAAGTACCATCAGAAAGGAACAGGCCGTCGGTTAATGCAATTTCCGAATTGATTAATTAAAGTTTAATGGGCTTAATTTTACAATTTTTTTTAATGGATCCCAGTTTCTGTGTTGATTCTGCACAACAGTCATGGATCCTTTGCTGCCATTGCGGCACTCCAATCCAGCCAAACTCTGCTAATATGTGCATTTCATGTCTCAAAAGTCGAGTGGATATAACAGAGGGAATATCAAAGCAAATTGCAATACAAAATTGCCGTTCTTGCGAGCGCTATTTGCATCCCCCCACTCAATGGCTGGTTTGCCAGCCAGAATCGAAGGAGCTATTGTCGTTGTGTTTGAAGCGGCTAAAGCTAGGATCTGGATCGGCCTTAAATAGCGTCCGTTTGGTTGATGCGGGGTTTCTCTGGACAGAGCCTCATTCTCGTCGTCTGAAATTGAAGATTACAGTTCAAAAGGAAGTTCTTGCGTCCACCGTTTTGCAGCAGACATTTCCGGTCGAAGTGGTGATATGTAACCAACAATGCATTAACTGTGCAAAGGTTATGGCAAAAAACATGTGGAACACCAGCGTGCAAGTCAGACAAAAGGTCTCGCATCAAAGGACCTTCCTCCATTTGGAACAACTGATCTTAAAATGCAAAGCACATTCCGACTGTGTAAATATTAAAAAGGTGCCGCATGGGCTGGACTTTTTTTTCTCATGCAGAACACATGCGATTAAGTTTATCGATTTCCTGGAATCGGTGGCACCCGTAAAGACAAAGTCTTCCGAACAGCTTTTGTCTCATGATATCCATTCGGGCCATTCGGCATATAAATTTACCTTTTCCGTGGAGCTTCTTCCCATTTGCAAAGGCGATCTGATTTGCCTACCCCCAGCCATGGCGCGCCAGGCTGGAATTTCATCGACGCCGCTGGTTCTGATCACAAAGGTTGGAAAGCTGTCCGTTGCAATGGTTAATCCAGCAACTTTGAAGATAACGGAGCTACCTGCAGGTGAATTTTGGCACCATTCCAAGAAGATTCAGCCGCTATTTTCATATTCTGATTTGAAGAAATTTGTGGTTTTGGATGCTACCCCTCTTTATGATCTTGCCCCGCCCCAGTCAGACCCCTCATCGTTTCTTTTGGCCGACGTAGAAGTTGGCAAAGAAAGTGATGGGTTTTCCACCACTAGCCTTATCCGAACGCATTTGGGAAGAATCTTGGCTCCAGGTGATCATGTCCTTGGCTATGACCTCAATACTTCCAATCCAAATAACGACGATTTTTCCAATATAGAAGACTCTCTGCCTCAGCTGATATATTTGGTAAAGAAATTCCATCCACAAACAGCTTCAAGGCGAAAAAATCGATCCTGGAAGCTCAAACATCTTAAATCGGAAATTAGGGATGAGGGCTCTGAAGAAACAAGCTCAACCGCGTCCATGAGCATTGTAGCATCCAATACGAAGAAGCAAAAGAAAAATTCTTCTAAGCAGCTAGTACAGATGGAGCAAGAGGAAGAAGATCTGGAAATATTTATGCAAGAGATTGAGGAAGACAGCGAGTTAAGATCTCAATTTAATCTCTATAAGGCAAGAGATTCACGCTACGAACATTTAGAAGAGGAAGGAGAACTCCAGGATGCACATGAAATCGACATTGCAGATCTTTTGGACGATCTTTCTATTGCTTCTGATGAGGAATAAGTCCGTCCGTCCGTCCGTTTGCTCGTTCGTCTGTCCGTTCGGTATAAGCCGTCCATTTTTTAATTTAAACTAAAATTAAAGCTTAAAACTGACTGTATTATTAAACTTAGAGGGCATACATAAGCCTGATTTCTTCAATCCGTTTGGATATCAATATGGGAGTGGTCTCCAAATCAGCAGCGATGGTTGCCTTTTTCTCGGGCGGTAGAAAGTGGAAATGCGAAAGAAGAGTGCCATCAATGATATGTTTAGTTGGAGAGAATGCAGATCTAAACGACAGGTGGTCCCTACCAATCAGAAGCGGGACAGAGGTCCTCAATAGCATCTCCAGCCTTTGAAAAAAATTGACATCTTGTCGCGTAAGCATCGGAATCATGGCGCCTATGCAACCTGTAAGCGTTGTATATAACAACACCTCGCGCCCACTCCCCCACACAAGCATGGCCTTGTTCAAAGAGGTAATGGTATCCCCCACATGCGCATGGCAGATATTTTCAATCTACAATTAGGAGCTTAACCGCCTACCTTATTTGGCGCACCCAAAAGGTGGCTCCTATCTATCAAACGCGCACCAGAGGGATCGGAATCAATTGCCTCGCTAATTGCCAAAGGCAATCTAAGGATGGATATCCCACCAAACTTGTCCGCCATTGCAGTGGTGTCATAATCAAGGGGCAAAGGAGAACATGATGGCCAGCGAGGGATCGGATCATCGGCAATAATGTAAAAGCAATTATCTTCGGGCTTGTATACGGCAATCAACAGGGAGTGTTGGACATCGCTTACGACAACCTTGGTAGCATTGGTATTCAACAGCGTGTCTGAAGTGACTGTGTGAAAGCTGGATGCTCCCGGCGTAGAGATGGAATAAATCCTGCACGGAAAAGATCTATTTTCGCTTTTTCGAAGCAATTTCTTCTTCCCAAGGTCATAAAGACGAAGGATTTGGCCCAGCCCAACCAGTAGTCTGCCTCTAAAGGGACAAAAGCTAGCTGGAAGCTCCTCGACTTGGGTCTAAATGATAAAAAGACAGCATATGACCTTATGGAGCAGTTCCAACGTAATAGCACCATCGCTTTTGATAGTCCATTCATATACATATATCCAGGCGGAATCAAAGGAAAGAGGCATTTGAGAAACATTTATCCCTATGCCTAAAACATAATAAAGCTGCTGAGAGCCATGAAAGCTGACGAGAGACCCACAGAGAGCAGTTTCCTCCGAAGCAAGTGGAAGAGAAAGCCTTTCTTCTCCACTAAGGAGATCGTAAAGATTAACAAACGATGCCCACTGATTAGGTAAACTACAATTAGTAGGTGTAGAAGAAATAGAAATAGCGTTCATGTTACAAGGTTCGCTACAAATTACCATAGCCAAAGGATTCGGAAATACAGATACAAGTGGGTGGATATTGGTTTCAAGTATCATCAATCTGCGAGGAGTCGATGGTAGCTTAATGGTTAAGTAGGGCTGCAATTTTGGAGGAACGATTTTATGTCCCTTTGCCCCGATCGGTCTATCAAAAGAAATTATTCGAAGGGTAGATCCAGAAACACCCAATAATCCGGGAGGCAAATCTTCTGAAGAAAAAAGAGCAGCATACGAAACGCAAATGTAGCTACCAAAATGAGCCAAAATATTGTTACTTGATAGGGAGCAATTGGGGCGGTGAGTTCATGAGGTCATTGTTTAGTTGGATCCATGGCTTGGTTGACAATACAACAAGAGAGGATGTATTTGCATTTGATGGATCTTGAAGTGATGGTGTGACGACCATGTTGAGCGAACTTGGGCCAATGAACCTTTTCATTAAATGAAAACAGTTACCTTGTTCTTGGGTCAGACAGTGAAAAGCCGGTAAGAACGCTCCCCTCAACGGTAAATCTTACCAAAATGCCGTTACTCAAGCCAGAAAATAAAAAAAGCGTTTCATTTTCCCCTACAGTGGGATCCTTTTCGCTCGAAAATGCCAAGCTATTAAGGAGTCCAGATTGAAGCGCCTGCAGTGCAAGCAGATCGAACCCATTTGGTCCGATCGAGAATAGACGAATGATTTGATCTCCCTCCGTACAGATAGCGACAATCGGGATTTCAGAGATTGAAGAATTTGCAGAACCCCATGGCAGGCCTGGGAGTGCAATAGAAGCTATCTGATTTTCCAGCTGCTTGTGAAATGTATTTTCAGAAAGCCGTCCTTGAGCATCAAGCGAAAAAAGAATTAAATGGCAATCGTTAGTAGAGATAATTAGCTAAAATTGATCACCAACAATCCATACTTGTGAGAAGCTGCTGGAGGCCTTTGAGATGAAAGTGCCAGACCGTGGGGTCCATTCTTTAATGCCGCTCGCATCGGCCATGATATGCCGAACCGATTTTGGTGTCACCTACAATAAATTTGGCGGAATACCTGAATAACACTTCCATCCACAAGAGGAGCAAGGTGTATGGTCGAAAGCTGGCTTAAAGAAAAAGGTGATTCGGTATCTTCCTCAACACTTTCGTCAACAATCAAAGCAGTAGTACAGTTGGGGAAAGAAACGATGATATACCGGGTTTTTCCAAGCGCTGAATATCCGCCACACGGATTTTTTCCAAGTGTCCATACGCCAGAGGGACTACCAAGAGGAAGCTCGGTGACAGCCAATTCAGACACCTCCAGACCATGTCTTAGCGCAACAAGGCAGGCATCTGGGCCTGTCCCACCTGCGGTCACTATTCGTGGGGAATCTTCTCCTGGAATATGAAGCACCTACATGCGGTAAAGCAAAATAAAATGGCACCTTTGAATCGGTGATTGGAAGCAGCGAATTTTCCTCCTCTAACAAAGACAAATTTTTTAGTTCGGCTCTTGGAACTACCGTATTTTTGGAATTATTTTCGGTATCCCACTTTTGCTCTTCATCCTCTGCAAGGCCGACGATTTGGTATGTTGCATTTGACCTTTGTTCCGAGGCAACTATCAAAAATCCAGCTCTAAGGATACACATTGATCGCGAAAGCTTGATTGAATCAAAGTATCTAACTTCAAGCCTAGTCACTGTATCCCCGTGGTGCTCAAGGGTAAGTTTAAATAAATCTCCAGACTCCAGCTGAAACAAAACAAAAAATGAAGACTTGGTCTTGTGCAAAAACGAGGCACATACAAGCAAATTGTCCATCGGAAGAGAGAGGGAAAACGGATCCACTTTATAATCTTCGGAGTACCATGTTACCGAGTTAATGGCAAATCCCAAAACGCCGCCAGGCCCATCAGGTCCAGATGATGCGGAGGAAGAATTTGGCAAAGCCAACAGCAGATGGGTGGTTGGATCCACAGGCCTTTGATACTTTCTAACCATGTGATTAAGACCAAGGTCAAGCTCATAATGAACAAGTAACATTTGTTCCGCTTCAGAAAGAGCGTCCTGTCCAGGCGCTTGCAGGAATGATTCAAGAGCGAAAAAGACCGGATTTTCAAAGCCAACGTCCAACGCCACTACAAAATGAACCATCGTATGCGACTTGTGGCAGTCAAGCGGGGAAGAGATCGAAAGGGTTGAGGTTGCATCTCTATTCAGGATGTATGCGAATTTCATTTTCTCAATTGCGCACAAGAGAAATGCTCTGCCTTTTGGATCCACACTCAAGAACTGGCCAGGTACGGCCCGGCGACAACCTGATCGGCCAAAGGTTTCAAGAGCCAAAATTTCCAAAGAACGAGTCTCTGGAACATACTCGAGGATTGAAACACGACCGGAATCAGAGCCAATGACTATGTAATCTTTAGACGAGCCAAGCGGTCGCACAGGCTGGATTGACCTGACGGTTCCAAAAAGACTTCTTCTAATGAGTGAGGATAGTTTTCCCGTTTGTGAGTCAGAGGCTAGGATTTCAAGCTCAGATGCTCCCCGAATGACAGCAATTTCTTGCTGGGACTTTGTTCCTGAAAAAAATCCCAAAGTCAAAAGGGAGATGCAAGCGCTGGGCAACAAAGGAAACTCGATCAAGTGCATAAGAAGAGGCAAAATTATGGCCGAATTTATGTGAAAATTTATAAATTAAAGCGCTGAAACTTGGAGTCTGCCTTGTAATTGATTTTTTACCTCGGCCTGACATGGGCTCATTAATACATGCTAGTACCAGCATATATGAACTCGCAAGCACAACCAAGAAGCGGTATAAAACACACGGTGACCCAAAATAACATTTAGATGCAACTGTTTGGCTATTCAGTTCGCGTGCAAAATCCGTACATTTTATGTATAAATTGGTATCCTAGCGATATGGGGTTTCAACAAGCTTCTCGCTAGTTGTAATTTGCTGTACATATTCAGGTATGCCTTTGATAGACATGCTGGCTGGAAGCGCAGACCTATCGTCTGCCGTTAACGCAGGACTGTTAAAAGAGGAGGAGCCTATCTGCTCCACATTAAACCCGATGGCGGATAAAAGAGATGCGTTGAGCAACTTTCTTCCGTCAAAGATAAATGCAGGTTTGCGCATTGAAGCAAAGATATTAGAATAATTTAAATGGTTGAATTCATCCCACTCCGTACATATCACAATTGCGTCGCAATTGTTGGCAGCCGAGTACGGACATGAATAGATGGTGGTAAGTGTGGCGGCCTCTAAAAATAAAGGAAGCAAAAGAAACCATCCAATAGGCCAAATTCTTGAAAATCGTTCCAAATTTGGGTTTGGCTAACTTTTGGATCGTAAATAGAAATGTGGGCCCTTTCTCTGATCAGGCTTGCCGCAATAGCTGCAGCTGGAGATTCTCTACGAACTTCGGGGCACAAAACAAAACCTGGTATCCCCGGTGTCCTTTTTGAAAGCAAATCCGAATAGCGCGATATTCTTTCCCGAAATGCAACCAAACTGTTTCGTAATTATTCGCCTAACAAAGCGATCCTTTTGATATTCATTGATCCCGATAACCTCTCTCTAATATTCAGCGACTTTTGTTAGCTGAAATGACTCGCACAAGTAGATCAGGTTTAAGACATCTTTTTTGAAGCAGCTTCCTCCAAATCCTAATCAATAAATGTGATGTCAAAGCTAACCAATGGATGCTCTGAGGAAATTGGGCCCAATTCTCGAATCGGACCCGATAGCCCTGGAAACTTCGCCAATATCTGCCCCGACAGCTTCACAAACTGCAGAAAGTGCGTTGATCGAGGAGACTCTTTGCGCCAACATGGCATTGGCCGCCAATTTAGCTAGTTCAGAGGACCAAATGTTTGTGAGAAGAATTCTTTCTTTCGGAACCCATCTTTCATAAATAGAGGCAAGCATATGCCCCGAATTCGAGGCCTCTGTGTTACCAAAAGAGCCAATAAGAATCCGGTCCGGATTCAGCAGGTCACAGATTGCAGTTCCCTCGGCCAAAAATTCTGGGTTGGAAAGAATTGAAAAGTTGACGCCATCTTTCTTGTTGACCTTAAAAATGTGCTGTATGTACTCTGCTGTTTTGCAGGGAACAGTGCTTTTTTCAATGATTATCTTTGAAGACTTGGAGACAAGTGCAATCCTTCTCACAGCGCTCTCAAAAAAGCTAAAAATCGGAGGAAGCCATCAATACCTCGTATCTGCTGCAATTCCAGCACCGATTCCAGACTTTTTCGTTGGCGTATTAACTGCGATAAAGATAATGTCTGCATTTTCAATGGCCTTATCAACATCGTCTGTAAAGAACAGATTTCTTCCTCTACATCTGAAAACAATTTCAGAAAGCCCTGGCTCGTAAATTGGTAAGGAGTTGCTATTCCATTGCGAAATTCTGGCAGAGTTTATATCGGCAATCGTAACAAGAACATCGGGGCACTTTTCCGCAATAACAGCGCAGGTTGGGCCGCCAACATATCCGGCCCCAATGCAGCAAATGGAGTGGGCATATCTAGGTGGATGCATGTAAGAGCAAGCCAGAAAACTTGGTTAAGTAAGTGGAATACGAATGTTTGTTATTGATAGCCTATGCATGTTGACTTGTAAAAATCATTAGATCAAAAATTACTTAAGGGTGGTCCATGCTTTTGTATATGTGCTCACAATTGGTCGAACCCTAACCCTAACCCTCGATACTTTTGACAAACTCCTAATTGCAATCATAAGCTGTATGCCTTACTTGTTGAAAATATGAATTCACACAAGAAAGGCCGTAAAGATATCATATTCCTCCTAAAAATCGGGCTCATCACAAGGCTGCTGGTATATGCAGGTATTGTTGCAGCGTTTTACTTGTTCCCTTCATATGATTTTTCTGTTGAAGTGGCAATGCCATTTGGAAGTTTATCGACATTTCTTCATCCCTTTGTGCGCTGGGATTCGTTATATTTCCTCCAAATAGCCTACAACAGTTGCAAATACCGGTTTGAACCCGAGTATGCATTTTTTCCACTTTATCCATTTCTGATGAGCTGCTTGGCTCCCATTTTCCGTAACATGTGCAGAATCAACGCATTGGTCCTCTCAGGAATTGCGATTTCGCTGCTTTCATTCATATTTTCCATCATTTTATTGTATTCTCTTACGGTAGAAATATTCAAATCAACACGACTAGCTTTTCTTTCTTGCGTCATGTTAATACTGTCGCCTGCCTCCATTTTTCTGACGGCTGTTTATTCAGAGTCACTATTTTTGATGCTCTCTTTAGCAGGAATGCTTTGTTTTGTGAAAGAGTTTCATTTTGCTGCATCCTTGTTTTTTGCATTATCCTCATTTACCCGCGCAAATGGGGTTTTCCATTCCGGGTTTTTCCTTTACCACTCTTTTGTTGTTCTCATTTCACCCAACTCCTGCGGTGTTTTTTCTCGAATTTCCAGGATTTCCACTCAACTATTCAATTTTTTAATTGCTTTATCTGGGTTTGGAATCTTCCAATGGTATTGTTATAACTCTATCTGCCACTCGGGAATCAATATTAGTGATGAGGCCATGTATTGGTGCAACAACCCGCCTTTTCTTGGCCTCTTGTATACATTTGTGCAAAAAGAATATTGGGGCGTAGGTTTTCTCCACTATTATCGATTTAAACAAATTCCAAACTTTCTTATAGCAGGGCCAATGGTTTTCTCCCTGATATATTCACTATTCAGATACCCATCGATCATAAGCAAGGGCGGTCACACCCTTTTTATCCGTACATTCCCTTTTTTAGTTGAATGGCTCGCCATTGGTGTGATTACTATAACAACAGCACATGTCCAAATAGCAACCAGATTATTTTCGTCCTTTGCTCCCATGTTATATTGGACCTGGGCGCTTTTAATTCTAGAATCTTTTAAGGAAAAAAATCCATTAGATCAGGGAGCCGCAGAGGCGACAAATGATGACCAAAATGCTATCAAGCCCCTTTACCCTGAAAAATCAGAATTGAGTGCTATTGATCGTGACACAGCCCAATCACCTTTGCACTATAAAACGATCAATTTAACTCAAGATGGTTTGGGTAAGAAGAGAACCCATGCTAAAATCCTTCTTGCCTATGTTCTCGGAAATGGAATAATTGGGTGTTTTCTTTTTGCCTGTTTTTACCCGCCTGCGTGAGCAAGTTGTATGCATAAATCACGATTTATGCCATATAACAGATTCAGGATCCCAAATTTATTAAATCAAATGGTAATGGCCATTCAGTAACTAGAAGGTAGTTGATGCAGCTATCAATGCAAACTTTTATAAATTAATTAACCCCACGCCTGAATCGCACAAAATTAAAACTTGGTCCGCAGTTTTTAGTAAAATGTATGAGCAGCTTGAGCTCCTCGTCAAAGATCCCAAACTCAAGTCATCCAAGGTATGCCCCCTTTCAAGTAAATGTTGAGACATCTAGGGATCTTGTACTAGTTCTCGCCCAACTTCCCTTTCAGGAGGTTTATTCCAATGTTTTCTTAGCCGACTCGTCGTTATTTGCTCAGTTTTTATCCGCATTTAATAATTCCTTCGAAGAAGTCAATGCTAAGGAGCCTACAAACGATGTATTTATAGCCATTTTAATGAAAAGTTTCTTTCAACGGGTCTTTTTCCGTTTTTGGCCAACATATGTTCAGTAGAAGATGATCGAATACCATTTATTATCCTCAGATTCCTAGTTACCTTCAAAAAGAGTCTTCCTAGTTTTGAAAAGTCAGAACCAGCATATCTCTCATTACTTGTAAATGTGACAACAAAGGTGCTTCTTTCTCGCAACGAAGATAAGGAGGCTTTTGCTGCCATGATTGGTATTATCGATTTGCGATTTTTGGAGGAACTTCTTGGTTTCATAGGCCAAGACGGCATTTTATGTTTTGAAAAAAAAGGAGAACTTTCCCTATATTTACTTCGTAATATTTCAGCAATTGAGTATTATTCGGTGCGACTTATTTCAAAGTCTTATTTTGGTAAACAGTTTTTGCAGCTTTGTCTGGTCGCCTTTTCGAATATGGAGGCGATGAGGGAAATTCTATTTGAAATCATAAAGTTAGCCATGGCTTCATTTTATGGGTTAGGAACTGCATGTTCTTCTCAGCAGACGCATTCTCATTGGATTTATGGAAGGAATATTTAGTCCCCCTCTTTTTAAGACAGTTGCTTGCCTTTAATCCGGATGCCTTTGATGGTATGAGAGAAGATGTAAGTGATGGGTTTTTATCGTAACTAAGGAGCTTGAAGATCTTTCCATTTTCCATCCCCTCTGTAAAACTCTCTTTGCTCCCAATGAGAGAATAGTGCTTCTCGTAGTCGAATCTCTCATAATTTCCGCAAGTGCGTCTAAGGAGATTCGTCGTTTGTATCGAGACCCCAATATTGTAACTTTATCGATTTATTCGTAGTATCCTTTTGTCAGAGAGACTGATCTTGCGATGTCAAAACGAGCTAGCTATTCAGAGGACGTCTCTGCTCTATTTTTAGAGCTTGTTCAGTTGTTAATGAGAGATGAGAGATGACAGATGAGCTCTGAGAATATATTCTAAAAATCAGTTTAGCGTTAGCGTTAGCGTTGAGATTAATGGGCTTGAGCACGTTATAGCTTTCCTCTGACCTTAGACAATAGAAATTTAATATTTATACTAGCTAAGGCTTATACTAGTGATCCGATATCAGATCACGTGGTTTTACCATTGTTTTACGACATACACGCAAACACACAAATAGGAATCTCTGGCTGCTTCCGAATTCCTTTCTATAACATTCCTACAACTTTAGACCAATATAAATTGCATTTCCAGCAATCAGACAGGCGAAACCATCTCTGATGCCTCCGCACTCTATCGTTCCCTTCAAAGCGTTCGGATCCGCATTGAGATTTATTACAAGGTTACGCTAACTCGAATACGATTTTTCAAATTAATTTTCATATTTTTACGTATCTCATTGCTTAAATTTTAATTTAATAATTGGGATTAAATATCGTCCCTCTATGCTACGTTAGATATGGGGGCCATATTTCAGGACTCGTTAGAGTGATAGTAAAAGTAGGAAACAATGCTAACTAGAATAAATAAAGTATCCGTCAAATATTAAATGATTGTTGACTTTTCCTTTCTATCAAACTAGTTAACCCCGATAAACTTGCCAAAATGTCTTTCTAGCTTATAATTGGGACGAGGAACGTATGTGTATGTATGCTTCGTGTGTATGGACCTTTTTAATTGATACTTAACTTGAACCTTTGTATAAAATCATGCTACTACTAAGAGAAGCAAGGAAATGGCGGCTGAAAATGCTTCAAATCGACCAAAATGCCAAGCAGAGGCTGAATTAGCTTCGGGGCTAGCGATATTCTGATTGGCCGGATCTGGGTTTTTGTCAATAGCATTGTTGTTAACGCTCTGAAAATAAGAGAGAGAATGCATGTTTGATTCCTTATATCTACTACTGTGAGTATTTTTTCGATCGCCATTTCCATTATTCCCAAATATTATCCACAGTATGTATGCAGCTGAAATTGAAGCTCCGATGTAAAATAGCGGAAATATAACGAATGAATGGAGGAATATGAAAGACTGATAGATACCATATGTAATTCCTACCATGTGTTGACGGCGATTGTGATGAATCAACCCCAATAATGACAAAATAATGATTAAACCCAAGAAAAGCTCTATATTGAAAAAGAACGTAATTTTGCTGAAACTGAAAGTGAAATGATTTGGAACACTATTGGGATCATTTTTAACTTTGAAATTTTCAAGTAAATCAAAGGCTTTTTTTATAGATGAAGTAAGATTACTTTGAAGTTTTTCATGATCTTTGATAAGATTCAAGATGTCCGTATAATGGGTGATTTCTGGAAGTTTTTGGGGATCACTACTAATGGCATTGGCGACATTACTTGGAAAAGAAATCACCTCATAAACCCATCTTAGCTGGTATTCAGCACTTGAGAGAATAGCGTAGCTGGTGTCAAGAACAAGAAGATCAGATAAAACAGCAGTCTGATTGCAATTCTTAAAATTAGCAGCTAAATCTTGAATTTTTTTCGTAGGCACAACATGTTTGCACTGTGTGATTATTTTCTCCATTGGTACGATTGCTGAAGAAAGCTTCAAAAAAGACGCTTCGGCCAGAGAAAGTTCTTCAACCTTCATATTCAAAAAACGACTCAGATTTTCCAAGTCCAAAAGATTCAGGTTTTTGTGATCCACTGCATTCTTGATATTCTTTTCCATCTGCTTGAAAAGGGTAGAAAATGCTTCATCGAATATTTTGGGCAATTTATTTTCTTCCTCGTTGAAGGTTTTCTCAGAAGTTTCGATTAACGCTTTTATATTTGTAGAAAAGGAATTTTTGAATTTTGAAATTTTATCCAAAATTCCCTCGAGCTCTTTGGATTTCTCAATCAAAGAATTAGGATATTCACTCCCATTAAATTTTGCATATGAGTCTTTAGTAGACATCAAATCTGTCAAATCGCGGGCAATGTTGCGTTCTCGAGCATACAAATTTAGAGAATTATGATAGCCGGTCATATCGGTCGCGTATTTGGTTTCTAGATCCTTAGATATACGCTCCAAATTAGCGATTAAAGAAGATATGTTGGAAATATAAGTTTGCATAATAGGAATGGGCGGGGTTGTCTGAGAAAGATTCTTAAAAATAGACCCGTAGCCATTCGCATGCAATGAAAGATTTTCAACCTTGGGTTTTAGCTTGCTAAAATCGTCTTTCGCGGTGTCATCATTTTGGGGATGAGGCTTAAGATCCGAACTATCTAATAACAGAGCAGCGGTTTCGACAATCTTACTGAACTCTTCCTTATAAGCAGCATTAAAAGAATCAAAATTTTTTCTGACGAAATCTGTATAGTCGAGAAACCGAATCAAACGGCTACATTTTAAATCTTTTATACTGGATTGAAACGTGGAATTGAAAAAAGGACCAATAAAGGAAAGCGTTTTGTTCAACTGCTTTGCTTTAGTAACAGATTGTGTAAAGTTTTTGGGATATTCTGCATCACAAAAGACCAGCAGTTGAGAAATAGTTTCGTTGATTCTTTTTTCAAGTTTTTTAAAATCTTCAAAAATTCCATTTCGAACATCCTTGATATTTTTTTCAACTTTTTCAAAGATATTGGTAAAATTATTGTTTTGAATATGTAACAGAGGTGTCACATCATCAAATGAAGGTATAAATTCATCTCGATTGAACTTATTATTGGGGCTTTTAGGCATATTGCAAAGCTCGATAGCATGAAACATAATCTTACTCAAAATAATTAACTCATTCCAATTGGAAACTAACTCGTCTTTAGGATCAATATTAGAAAGGTTAAATACAGGCTGAGTAAAGATATTGTCTTTCCAATTCTTGACTTGTTCAATTATATGTGCGGTATCGTTAGTTAAGGCATACATATCTGACATATTTTTGGTTATTTGTATTATACGTGTAGAATTGATCGATTCTTGAACTTTAGTGGGGGTTTCATCTGAAGGTTTCTTGGTGTAGACCAAGACGTGAACATAGGACTTGATAATTGAATCGAGCGCAGAAATGGGGTTATTTTTTAGATCATTTTCGGCTGAAGATTTCATGTTTTTAATTTCCTTTGATTTTATTGGATTAGTAGAGAAATTTTTATCATTTAAGCTGGAATCAACCAGGCCCGCAACTCGTTTAAAAAGGTCTGGAATTGGGTCGACATCATTTTTCTTTAAAAGTAAACGGTAGATATATAAATCGGAATTTTGATCCGGATTTTGATCGCATCGCATAAAAGATATGGCTACCAGCAACAAGAAAGCAGATAGAAAGGTTAAAAAATGCATAAAAAAAATATAACATCAAATCCAACACATATTCGCACACATAACCAATCAACCCTAAATGTTATCAGGAAACACCAATAGAAACAAAGTGTTAATTTAAGCTGTATCACCAATGGTTTAAAATAAAATTAGCACATGAACTAACCAATACCATGAATTTCGAAAGCTTGACTTCTTCCAGAGCCTGCAGCTTCATCACTAATTTCAGGCTTACTTGCTATAAACAGCTTACATCCTGATTAAAAGGAAAAATAAGTAAAATGGATTTGCTCGTGTATGGTGGTATGTATTATTGAAAGATTAAAGTAGCAAGCATTTTAATCAATTCGATTCCAAGAATAAACGTAACCCAAAAAAGAAGGAACTCACTCTTGTGGTATCTCAATGGCCTCAGATAACACATTTATTGGGTTCCTTGGTTTAAGAGTAACTTTTAACACAGTTATGCCGGATTTAGGGTCAGGGTTTATTTAAATTTAAATAGTGATGCTCAATTGACACCTTAAAAATGTGGACAGCCCCATCAATGATTAAGCAACCTTGGCATGTTGAAATAAATTCATGTGCAATCATTTACATTTGTGCCGCCAATTTTTAATTTGTAATCTTGGAGATTTTCCAATCATCTTTATGCTTTCTTGTTCCGTCGGAGATGATGAAGCACTTGATGCCCCGCGTTCTTCATATGGCAACGAAAAACACTGTGTGCTTCATAAAATGATATTTACAAATTTCAAATCATATGCACAAATTCAAGTAGTGGGACCTTTTGATAACGTATGCCTGCTATTTTATTTTGTATTTTTAGTCATTTACAGCCGTCGTTGGTCCCAATGGCTCTGGAAAGTCCAATATCATTGATGGTCTTCTTTTTGTATTTGGATTCAGATCTTCCAAGCTCCGGCAGCCTAAAGCAATCGACTTGATTCATTGCTCTGAAGAGTACCCGGTTCTTCCTTTTTGCTCAGTCAAGATCGTATTTCACTTATTAGATCGAAACAGTCAGTGTTTCAGCGAATTTATCGTTGAACGCAAAGTGTATCGTGATACTGGTCGCTCAGAGTATCATTTGAATGGCACTGTTCGGTCTCTTTCTGAAATCACACGCATCATGCAGCACGATCTTGGCATTGACTTATCGCACCATCGATGGCTAATTTTGCAAGGGGAGGTTGAGTCAATTTCAATGATGAAGCCACGTTCGTTTTCCAGCTCTCCAAACGAAGAGGGGCTGCTAGAATATTTGGAGGATATCATTGGCTCATCTGCTCTTCTTCCAGAAATAGAAAATTGCGAATCTTTGTGGAACGCCGCATCTGTAGAGTCGAATATTGCGCAGGAAAAGTTGCAGCTCGCCGAAGCAGAGGTGCAAGCAATGCGGCCTGCAGCGGATGAGGCATTACAGAGCATCTCTCGATTTAACGAGGTCCAAACCAAACGAATTGCAATCATGAAATCTTTGTTGCAGCAGTTGCACGATTCTCAAAAGCGGTTACACGAACAAACAGAAAAAATGCATAAAAAGCAAACGACCCTTTCCACTGAGATTGAGGCGAAAAAAAATCAGATTTCAGAACATCGGTCCCGGCGCTTGAAAGAGGAAAACGAGAGAAGATCAGTACAAAATTTTATTCATTTGGAAAAAGGGAAATTAGAGCAAACAGAACGATCCGTGTTAAGGCAAAGGGAGCGCCATGCGCTTACAAAGACAGCCCTCGACCAAGCGGATCGGAATCATGCCAAGATGCTGCAGAAACAAAAAGAGGCTGCCAACGCAGCTGAGGATGCAAAGGAAATTCCAGAAACCATTTCCAAGCTTCAATTGGAGCTAGAAAAGCAGCGAAACCTTTTGACTCCAGAGGTCATTAAAAAAGAAGATTTAGTTGCTCTTCGTCGCGAACGAGCCGTTGTTTTCAAACAGCTTCAAGACATTGAAGTTTTGGAAAACGAAAAGATCTCACTGAAAAATGAAATGGATGCCATCTCTATAGACCGAAATTTACTCAATCAGAAAGAAAATGATGTAAAAGGGGAGCATGAGGCCCTCACGAGATCTCTCCCAGATCTCTCCGTATTGGTTTCTTCTAAAGAACATGCAGTTATGGAACTTGCCGCGGAAATTGGCAATAATACTGATGATGTGGTGGAGGGCGATATGAGGTCTTTGGAATCTATCATCTCCTCGATGCCTGGGGTTATTGGACGTCTCGGCGACTTGCTCTCGCTTTCTTCTGATCAGTATTCCATTGCATTTGAGCGGGCAGCGGGAGGTATTCTTGATAATTGGGTAGTGGAGAGTGGAGCTGATGGCCAGCGTTGTATTGATGAGTTGAGGCGTGGGCAGCTTGGTCGGGCTACCTTTGTGGTACTTTCAGAGCTACCAAAAGCCCCAAACTCGGCCTCAAATTATCCCGGAAAAGAGGACCGCTCTGTGATCCGTCTTTTTGATGTGGTCAAGCCACTCCAATCGAGGTTCACACCTTTGGCGTATTATGCTGTGCGTGGAGAAACCCTTGTGGCGCCCACACTGGATATTGGCACACATATTGCATTTGGAACTTCTCAGAGATACCGTGTAGTCACCATGAGCGGGGAACTCATTGAGCCTTCTGGGGCCATGAGTAGTGGTGGGAATGGGGCCCCAAAAAGAAAAAAGCAGCCATCTGCCTCAATGCATCATCAGCGGCAGGAATTAGCCAAACGGCGTCAAGAGCTTGAGCAGTCACAAGTGCTTCTTTTGGAGGCTACGCAGCGGATTGAAGCCATTGTTGGGGTTGAGCTTCCTGCGCTCAAGCAGCGCCTCGCCTCCATGCATGCGCGAGAAAAGGTCCTTTTATTACGCATGGAGGCTATCAAGAACGAGATATCCCCAAATAGTGGAAAGGATTTGCTCGTTTCTCGATTGGCTAAAATTGAGGTAGAACTAAGTGCCCATCAAAAGCAGGATCCACAACTTGAACTTGTTCTTGATCTAGAAGAACGTCTTCGCGAATTAGAGGCTCGCAAGCGAGATAGCAATCCCACCGCTCAAATGCATGTTGCTGAACAAGCATTACAAGATGCAGCGAACTCCCTAGAAGCTGCTCGCCAGACGGAGCGGACATCGTTTGGATTACTTGTTGAAATGGAAGAAAAACTTTCGTTGGCTAAGCAAAAGCTTGATGCGATAGAGCAAAAAGAGCGTGCTCATATACCTGCTCTCTCCTCTTCAAAAAGCGAGGAGGAAAAGTTAGAGTCAGCTTTGGCTAAAATAGAGGAGCATTTTGAAGATCTTGTTCAATCTCTAAGCGCCGCTCGTTCCGAAATAATAGAGCTGGGAAAGAAGAGCGAGCGCATGACAGAGCTGCTTAGTTCTTCTGTTTGGGTTGTGGATCCTGAGCGTCCGTCTGAGCGGCTCTATTATTCGGAAAAGTCGTTTCCATTCCCTCTGGATCAATTACACTGCTCGGATGAAGCCATGTTATCGCAGCTAGAGCGGCAGGCCGGCACCATTTGGCGTACGTCGGCCTTGATTAAGACATTGCCCATGTCGCTTTCCTTTATCTATTTTCGTCGCCTTAGCTTTTATTTTCTACGCTTGCTTCTGTCCTTGAATTTATCTTACTTGTTTAGAGACCTCGTTTGCGGGGGTGCTATCTGCTTGGAATGCACGAAGAGAGGCGGTCCAAGATGCTAGTGCGCTAGCACAAGCAGCCTTTCAGGCTAAGGAGGCGGCTTGGATGGCATTTGATGTCGCTAAACGCGCCAGGCTCGATCTTTTCATGTCAGGCTTCAGAGAAATCTCTGACTGCCTCAAGTCTATTTATCAAATGATCACACTCGGGGGCAATGCCGAGCTCGAATTGGTTGACTCGCTTGACCCCTTCTCTGAAGGTGTGCTCTTCTCAGTAATGCCACCCAAGAAGGCCTGGAAGAACATTTCTCAGCTCTCTGGCGGCGAAAAGGTATCCACTTGTTTCCGTTTGTTTTTCTTTATTGTTTATGTTGGCACTTGTTGCCCAATGTTTTTATTTCTCGATTTCACCGCATTTTCACTGTTCTCGCATTCCCGTCTATATTGAAAAGCACCATGTTCTCATGTTAGACGTTGAGCTCGCTTGCATTGATTTTTGCATTGCATGCGTTCAAGCCAACCCCCTTCTACGTGATGGATGAAATCGATGCCGCCCTGGACTTTCGCAATGTTTCGATCATTGCCAACTTTATTAAGCAAAAAACACAAAATTCACAGTTCATCGTTGTGTCGCTCAGAAATAGCATGTTTGAAGCCGCAAATGTCCTTGTAGGTGTTTACAAGACACTTAATTGTACACAATCGATAACGGTGCAGCGCGCGCTTGTTGACATGTAGCGTGGAGGGCGTATAGCTGAATATATTCAAATTCCGGAGACACCTCTTGCAGGAGATAATAGCTAATTTTGATGTCATTTAACGGTCCAAATTTGGGCGCACCTTTCCGGCCTTGAAATGGGGTCCACTCGGTGCATGGCTCATCAAGATGCCGGCAATCGCAGTTTGTAGTAAAAAATTCGGCATTTGCATGAGCGCAAGCCTGAAGTTTACACGACAAATTAAATTTTGTTTTTATTTCAATGGCCGGTGACCCTCGAATTGAAGTAATCCCTCCCAAGGATGCTGGAATGCGACCCTTTGATAAGCGCATGGCAACACACAGTCATATAAAGGGGCTTGGGCTTGCATTGGCTCAACAGAGCGACCAAGGCGAAGATGGGTTTGTCGGCCAGCTCCCTGCGCGAATGGCCATGAGCTGCATTCTTTCTATTGCCCGCGAGCGAAAGATGGCTGGACGTGCAATTCTTCTTGTGGGGCCCTCTGGAACCGGAAAAACAGCCTTGGCTCTTGGTCTTTCCCAAGAGCTTGGGCCAAAGGTCCCCTTTACCGCTCTGACGGGTCCAGAAGTATTTTCGTCGGAGGTAAAAAAAACCGAGGTGCTCATGGAGAACTTTCGCCGTTCCATTGGTACGATTCTAGCTTCAATAATGGCAATAGGATTGACGATCAGGGAAATCAAAGAGGTTTATGAGGGCGAAGTCACCATGCTGACCCCGGTGGAGGCCGATAATCCGTTTGGCGGGTTTGGCAGATCAATTTCACACATTCTCGTCACACTCAAAGCAACGAAGGGTACAAAGCAATTGCGCCTCGACCCATCTCTTTACGAATCCTTTCAGCGAGAGCGTATCGCTGTTGGTGATGTCATATACATCGAGTCGGCATCTGGCACGGTGAAGCGGGTTGGACGCTCCGAGTCGTTTGCCAATGAATTCGATTTGGAGGCAGATGAGTATGTTCCCATCCCAAAAGGTGAGGTACTCAAGAAAAAGGAGCTTCTGCAGCAGGTGACACTCCACGACCTGGATGCGGCCAATGCAATGCCTGCTGCCCATGGGGCATCGCTTGCCAATCCGCAGCTCATGATGCCGTGGAGAAAAACCGAAATCACCGAAAGACTCCGCACCGAAGTGAACAAGGTTGTCAATGAGTACATTGACGCAGGCACCGCAGAGCTCGTTCCCGGTAAGCACTGGTCCTTTTCCGTTGTGCACATTTACACTTGGCTTTTCACTCTTTCGGCATATTGCGGTTCCTCGCGCTGCCATTGATCTCTTTTGCGGGTTCCCACCTGATACATTATGTTGCCTCTCATTGATCATAGGTGTACTTTTTATTGACGAGGCCCACATGCTTGATCTTGAGTGCTTTGCATACCTCAACCGCGCCATTGAGTCACCGATATCGCCGCTTCTTGTTCTCGCCACGAATAGAGGTATGCCGTAGATGTTGCAGTTCATCCATCATAGGGCTTTCAGAGATAAGAGGCACTTGCGACAAGGTCCTTGCAGCACATGGAATGCCCTCTGATCTCCTCGATCGACTTGTTATTGTCCCAACGGCCATGTATACACAGGGCGAGATTGAGAAGATTGTTGCCATCAGGGCAAAGATGGAGGGTGTCGATCTCGATACAGATGCCCTTCACTTTCTCGCTGAGATTGGATCATCCACCTCTCTAAGGCATCATATAGCACCCTTATTCGTATTTTTAGATATGCCCTGCAACTGCTTTCGCCATCAAAGATCAACGCCGAGATAGAGTCCACTGGTCCCGTTGTTCGCAGAAAAGACATCGAGAGCGCAAAGAACTTGTTCATTGATGCCGGTCGATCCATGGCACATGTCAAATCGACCGCCTCACATTAAATTACTTCATTTAAACTAACTCGCTCACTTCACGGATTTTTAAACTAAACAGCTCAATAAGAAGGGGACTTGAAAACTATGGGACTTGAAGAATAACAATGCGCTCAGACAAAACACTGGCTTAGCCGCCATCCGAAGAAGGCGGCATCCGTGGCTTTCATCATGGACGATAAGCCTGGGGCACGGTATCGAGTTGTCATCAGTGCTGTAGATATCATCATCCAAAGGATGGCGATGAAAGTTTAATTTTCATTTCTGTTTTAAAATTAATTTTTTTATTTCCACTTGTGGGATCGTCTTTTCCATGCGAGTGACACGAACCAAGCGGTGCAAGCGGCTCATCTCCTTTTATATGAAGACATTCGGATTCAGATATCCCTTTCAGGCAATTGTAGACCCCGAGTTTATCCAGGCCTCAATTGTATCCAAGGTGCGGCTTGAACATGGCGTGCCAGAGCTACTAACCGGTCCTGCCAAGCTTAGTACGAAATATAATCTCATCATCAATAGTGATCACCGGGTGTACTATTCATGAGCTACGAAGCCTTGGCGATCGATATTACGGGGCACTCTTCATGTCCAAATCTTTTGAGCGCATTCGTAATTGCAAACATGCTCCCGGCTCTGTGTCCTCGCTCGATTGCATTCGGGAGCAAATCGGTAGCATGCGGCAACGTCTTTATTGTTTTAGGATCGGCTAACAAGCACAAATATGTTGTTTGCTCGCAAGACACGGCCTTTCTTCAAGAGCTCAGTACACTTGGAGGTGTACCTACCATTCACATCTACAAAGGCGTTTTACAACTCGACCCCATTTCCAGTGCTTCAAAAGCATTGAAGGAAGAAAAAGAGGCGCAGAAAGATAAGCTTACCAAGGCTGAAAGAAGGGAAATCGCTACTTTGATAAATCAGCCAGACCCCACTGATGTGCCCCAAAAAAGGGTAAAGAGGAAAATAGTGAAGGGCCCAAACCCACTTTCCGTCAAAAAAAGGAAAGCCTTGGTAGGAAGAAATTCGGAGGCGTTACCAACGGCGGAACAACAGAGGCCAATTCGCAAAAGAAAAAGAAAGCCCTCAACCAAGGAGGATGTATAATTTGGCACTTTAGTGGGCAACATAAATTATTCTCAAACGCGGATACACTCCCTAACCCTAGGGTTGGGACAGAACAGGCTACAAAGGTCAATTAAATTTATTTAACGGCATATAAATTTTCAGTTTTACCAATGGCTCGCTTCCTGTTTGGCTTTGTTACCGGGCTTTGCTCTGGCCTTTATTGCGCGCAGAATTACGATACGCCCGATGTTAGGACGCTCATATCAACACTCATGAAAAAGGTTCAGGACCTTGAGAAGGAGAATCGGAAGCACGATGACGACGGCCGCGGCGGCCCCAAGTAGCCCGCCTCGATGTATTATAATACGACACACTAATAATTAAACCGTAGAACCAAACCAAACCAACCCTAACACTAACCCAGACCCTTTTTATACACCCCATGTGTTTTCCCGTCAGCTCGGTCTCTAGAAGGTCGTTCGTGACACTGTCTCAGTCCCCACCAAAGTCGTTTCATATCCATCCGCAAAAGTTTAGGCAGCGAGTGATTTTGAGCGATGGCTCTCAAATAGAGTGGAACTGCCTCTGCCCACAAAGCGATGTTCTCACACTGATCCAAGATTCAATTGTACATCCCTCATGGAACTCCACTAAGCTGAGCCATCAGCGTCTTCTTTTAGATTCCTTTGGATCGGTCTCGAAATTCCACAAAAAATTCATTGCGGCCAAAAACCAAGATGCTTCCACACCTGCGTCCCAGAAAAGCCCGAAAGACCCTACTGCCAAACACATGCCAGCGTCGGATGTATGGCAGGCGCTGGAGAACACTTTTGCAGCTCTGGGCGAAACAACAAAATCCAGCCGTACTGGACGTCTTGAGCGGGAGGCCATGGTTGATCCGGATGAAGAACGGAAGCTGGCCGCCATTGCCGCCTCCAACCAGAAGAAAAAGGCCCAGAAAAAGAAATGATTTATCGATTAAGATGGAAGCTGGGGTGATTCAAAGTAAAGATCGAAACGTGTGCCAAAAGCGCGATCCCATAAACGTCGAAATGTGTGCCAAAAGCGTCATCCCATAAACATCGAAACGGGTTCCAAAAGCGTAGCTTTATGGTGGACCTATAAATATTTATTTGTTGAAAAGACGATGGCATTGCAGGGTCTTTAATTTATTAACAGATCTCACTTGTAGTTCCAAATGGACATCCTACAGTCTCCAGAACCCACAAGGAGTAATGGCAGCTTTGGATGGCTATCGATGCAAAGTACTAAAGTAATTAATTTTCCGTTAAATTGGCATACCTGAATTCTTATACGAGGCTATTTTACAAAGAAGCGTGTAGGAAAAGGCGCACCAAATTATGATCGAAGTGTCTTTTGACGAAGAGATGATGTATCGAGAATCGCTCGAAAAAGTTACAGAAAGGACATAATCCTAATATGAGAAACGGTTGACACAAACCTGGTGGCCCTCTAGGATGGAAAGGCAGGAAGAGAGAATTAACTGGTCGTTTTCATCGCAAGAGATGAGCCAGATTCTGATTGTTTTATCCAATGAGGCGGAAGCAAGTTTTTTTCCATCCGAAGAAAGGCTTAGGTGATAAATAGACGCAGAATGGCCAGACGAGTGTATCGAGACCGTTCCAAGCTCAACATTTATCACATAAAGAGACGAACCAAGGGAGGTTACAAAAATGAATTTGCCATCTTTTGACCAGCAGACAAAGGAAATTATACAATCCTTGCTATACTCGCTATCTGACTCGCGCAAAATCGAAATTTCCTTCAATAAAATGTGCTTACGCTCTTCAACATGGACGTCCCATATTGCGACATGGGAATCTCCACTTACCGAGGCTAGTTGTTCTCCAGATGGAGAGTACTTTATACAATAGATGTCTTGAGGATGATGCGTGATTACTTGAAGCGGGACATTGGAGTCGAATTGAAGGATATAAATGACCTTATTTTCAGAGCCCGCGGCAAGGAAGGATCCGCTTGGATGAAAGTCAATGGTACGGATGAAAGACCCAACGGTGGACGGTGTAGAGGCTTCTAGGCCACACGAGAATTCCCTGGTACGCGGTTAGAAAATCATCAAGGCCTACTTTAAAAGAGACATTGATTCTGCCTCAAAGAGCTGCACAATGCCAAAAGACCCAAAGGCAAAATACTTTCCAGAATTGGCCCATCTGACGGAGGAAATAAGATCTTTATGTTGCTGGTCAAATGTCAGTGCTGGAGTAATTCTGGGTATTTTTGACGGGTTATCTTCGGGCCACACCCATAAGCCCCAGTCAGGAAGATTCTGTGCAGGGGCGGGACATTCAATATATTCTAACGCGAACGATTCTAACCCATAAGCGTGATATGTAAACATACTTTGGGTTGGCATTGAAAAAGAAAGCCTTGCGCGTTTTTCTGGTGATAAAGCCGATTCAGGCTTCAAAAAAGCCTGTTTCGATCGACAATCGACTTTTGGAAGCGGTGTGTAGAGAATGGGGCAAGCATTTTTTCGAGTCGGGACCGAGGTGGATGAGGAGGCCAACCCAAATGGCATCTTATTTGTAGATGCTGAATTGGAGGGCGGGCTAGGATTTGCCGTACAATTGCCTTCACTGGAAACATCATTTGAAGCAGATCCTTTGGTGAGGACAGATGAAAAGTTTTTGAAAAACGTTTCCACCAACGTGCTGGTTTTAAAAGTGAAAGGATGGCCTAGTTGTATCAGTTCTTTTTTGCATCTGGCAATGTCTTCTTCAAAACTACACACGTAAGCAAAGATTCAAACCCTTTGTGAAGCTTAAATAGCAAAAGCTCCATTTCAGCAATAATCTTTTGCATGGACGCCATTTCGCTGGTCGAATTTTGTGCTAAATATAAATAAGCGAAACACCGGCATACCCATCTCCTCGTGCTGTTTACGGAAAAGAGAATTCTCTTTCAAAAGAAAATCAAATTCAGATTGAATAGCTGCAAACAGCCCATCGAGACGACCTCGCAGATAAAATTACGCTATCATACCTTTGCATGGCCCGATGGCTCCAGACATTCCAATAGGCCCTCCAGGTGGATATTTTTGGGGCATTCTCGCAGAATAAAACGACGGTGATTGATGGTATTGCAGATGATGGTTATGGGCATGTTGATTTAGGTAGGCATATGAAGCTGGTTGATGATTGTTTAGATATTGCGAGGGACTTGTACCATTTCCATGGTGCTTCAAAAGCCCTATAGAAGATCCCGAAGAAGCAGGCATTGAATTCGATAAATGGGAAAATGTTGGGACATTTGCTGAATTTCCAGTTAAAATGGACGAGATTCCATCAGGCGTGCCTGTGTTTGGACGCACGGTGCTTGTGTTGTTCCGGTTACTGCTAATGTTATTGTCGTGAGAGGCAGTGGTTTCGCAGTACAAAGCATCCGACGACTGGAACGTGAAAGGTTTTGAGGATTCTGGATAATAAGTTAAAGGATTTGCTGAATGCTCACACCCCTCTTCATCATTGGGAGGTACATGTGCTTTTGAGTCAAATCTATGGATCATCAATAATAATTTTGAGTAATAAAACAGGTGATACTTTGTAACCCAAGCGATTAGTTGCAAATTATGCTAAATTTGAATTACATATTTACGCTTTTTAGTAATTTTTTGTGCCAAATTTCGGGGCAAATTTGAGAGCAAATTGGAGGGCAACTTGGATGTCCTCAAAAAGCTCTTGTGCATTTTCTAACCCTACCGAAAAGCGCACAAGAAACGGCGAAATGCTTGCCCTGGTTCTCTGTTGCGCGGTCATCTGAGAATGCGACATCAGTGAGGGAACCTGGACCAGGCTCTCAACCCCCCCAAGAGACTCGGCCAGTGTAAAAATCGCCATGTTGGAAATAAAGCCAAATAATTGCGGTTTCGAGAAAAAATTAAATACCACGCTAAACATGGAACCATGCAGGTTCATGTGGTGTTGTCTCGTGATGAGCTCTTGACGCGCCCCCTTCAAATGTTCGTCGGGATACAGGATTTCTTCAATTCCCTCAACCGCTTCTTGTCTCAGTTTGCAGGTTATAAATTTGGCCGATTCTGATTGCCTTTTCATGCGCACACACAGGGTCTTCATGCCCCTCAGCACCAAAAAGCAATCTATTGGACTGGGTACGGCGCCCAACGCATTTTGCATGAATTTAATTTTCTCGTGCATGACCCGACTATTTGTCAATGCGATTCCAAGCAATGCATCACAATGGCCATTCAATGCCTTCGTTGCGGAATGGACCACCACATCAGCTCCGAGCTTCAAAGGATTCTAAAAGCCAGATGTCTTTGCCCTTCATACCTGAAGATAGGGCGTCATAAAAGTATTATCCACCACCAATACGCCATTTACGGTATGGGCAAGCTCTGCAAAAAAGCCAATATCTGCCACTTTTAATCCGGGATTTGATGGAGACTCAATCCATATGAGGGATGGTGAAAAATTTTCAATTTCCTTTGTATCGATGTGCTTGTCCACATCAATGTACAAAGTGTCAATGTTGAGCTTTTCATTTGCAATTTTTTGCAAGAATCTGTGCGTTCCGCCGTAAAGATCGGTCCCAGCAACGATCTTATTGTTTGCATTTAAGCTCAAGATGACCGCTAGCAATGCGGCGGATCCGCTGGAGAATGCAACGCCTATGTGGAAATATATACGAGTATCCCCACCTAGCGTTTCCTCGGAGCCCTCAATTGCAGAAACGCTTTGCTCTAGCAGATTTCGCGTAGGATTGTCGCTTCGTGAATATTCATATCCACCCTGCCATGTGTTACACAGTTATGTGGTTACCGTTGCCACTCCAGGCTCTTTTTGCTGGAACGTCGTTGAAAGGTACAACGGAGGCACTATTGCCCCGGTGTCCACATCATGGGCAGTCAAATGAACAATCCTGGTCTCGATGCTTTTCACATTTTCTTTTGACATCAAAATGTAGCTGATGCGTACATTGCGTGCGCATATGGCCGAGGTATTAAAGTTTGCTTTGTCGGTTTTAAAATTTCCAATTTTCTTCTAAAGATTCTTTATGTAAATCTAAAGCGAAAGACCGCCCCATTGCCCTCTTATCCGACGAGCGAGTTGGATGTCTTTTTTCATGACGGTGACCCGCTTGGCGTGTATGGCACATAGGTTGCTACAATTAAAAAGAAATCATACGCATCTTCAAATAAATGAGTTAGAAACGCCTCTGCAGCCTCCTGCAGGGCAAGCAGGGCTTGCCCTTGCCAACGGAGCCCAACGCCATCTCTGAACTCGACGGTAACAAAATCGGTCGCTATTTCCCGTACCTAGAATTTACCGACACAAAATACAAGTCTGGCAAACGGAAGTTTCCTCAATAATAAGTCTGTTGTTTTTTGGTAGTGTCTGATCTCTCGAAGCGCAAAGGTACCTGGCCTGTATCTGCGGCTCTTTCGTACATCATCTGTAGCTGCGGCCGATGATAGAGATGGGATGCTTTTTGTTGCTGAAATTGGTTGGGATAATATCCTATCATCTAAAAGATTAGTTTGCTCAATAAAATCACACCAAACTCGGACCTGTTTGATGGATATTTCCTGGCAACTCTTGAAGGGGGGGTCCCCACAATTGAGGGCGGCTCGTTAGAGGGCGATTTTCTGGTTGGAGTAAGCGATTTTCGCGACGTCCCTTTCTTTGTAGAACTTGAAGGAACCGCAGTACTTCCTATACCACTCCTTCGAACCATCAGAATAAGCCGGCACTAGATTCGGATGAACGATGATAAAAATGCTGTAAAATGTACTCCGTATCAATTGTTGCCAATGGCGCCAATTTTAAAGTTTATAATCCCGTAATTGTACAAACATCGACGTTTTCGGCTCATATTGTGGCAGATGATGTCCCAACATGCCCAGCTCTTGAGCAATTTTTCTATTTAGTTACAAAAAATACCCATACGGAGTCAGTAGATCTGCAACCAGAATATGAAGCCCCTTAAACGATTTGGCAAACAATTTCTGCAATAAGGTAAATATGCACGCACCGGAAGAGTTAGACTGATCAGCGTATGCGGCCGAATTAGCCCAGCTCTGTTTGAATTGTCATGATCCACTAACCAACCGGTCGGGACATCAATCGATATCAGAAGTGAGGGGTTTATTTGCACCACTTGGTCAATCAGGGTTCCATATGGCTCTTTAATGACGCTTCCTGTTGAGCCAAATCCTTTTGATCAGAGGAAAGCTCGTACCTAAAACAGCATCGATAATAAAGCCACAATGCGCTGCTTTTGATAGCGAATCTACAATGCAAATGTTCAGGTGTTCGCATATTTTCAAAAGTGAAGAATTTAGCGATGCGGGCGAAAATTGCTTCACAATCACAAGTGTAGGCATATAGCCATACCTGGCCAAGTGTCTAGCAACGACAAGCCCGTCTGCACCGTTATTTCCCGGTCCTAAATATTGACGACGAAACGAGTACCAATTAAAATTATGGGCTTCTTATGGATATCCTTTGAGGGAGGATAGTAATGATAAATGGCCTGAGAGATTGACAATCCTGCCAATTCTACCAATTGGCCTATAGTGTAGCCAATGTCCAAGAGTCTTTTATCGATCTCCTGAGCTTGTGAGGAAGAAATAAATGTGGGAACGGGGCACGCGTTTCCAAAGCTAATATCCATTCTAAAAATGCTTTAATTGCAAACTGATGACAAATTCCATCTTACAATGCCTTGCTATACGCTAAAATTAATAATTCATTACCAGAGGTAACCCTCTCCGTTCAACAAACGGATCTGGTTCGGTATGTACTCTACTGACCCAACCCCGAACCCTGGCTTTAAAACACACGTCTAACGCCAACGCCTGCAACGACACTTGTTGGAATTTGCTTTCCAATAAATTCAGGAAGGCATGTGTCGAAGATTCCTTGGACTATTTGTAGCGTGCAAAAAAGCTGCAGCTATGTGAGCAAAAAGCTAGCAAAAAGTCATTTTTTCAGGGCAGTGTCTTCTATGCCCCAAAATACGACTCCTTGCATAACCGTGGCTAAAAACCGTCAAACATTGACAGTGAAATGGCCACAAGAGGATAAGGTGAAACCTCAGCTTCATATGTACTCAAAATTTCAGTGATTAATAAAAGAAATAAGTAAATGCAAATAAACAAGGGTCACGGTGAGGCTATCTTGATTTTTATAATAGGACCACTGAACCAGATGCTACTGGCTTGAAAGACCTTTCGATCTTCTAACACGATACCTATAATGGGCTAGGTTTAAGCCCTTGCAAGTATTCCAACCAATATTTGATAGATTTTTCTAATGGGGAAACGAGACGAAGATCGAGAAATATCTTTATCGATTGTACTAAAAGACGATGGCTTGAAGGCCCTCAAAAGAAACCTGACACACGAAAGATTCTATTTGGCACTGAAAGATACCTCAAGCCCTGGAGCTTGGACTCAAATTTGGGTTTGCATCCGCCGTTTAAAATACGAACGAGCTTCGTATTCAGACTCCACTAATAAACCAAATGTTTATTTAATCGTCACCCGACTAGGGTTATCAGTGCAAAGTTTTAAATTAATTTATCTACATCACAGCCAAGTTTTACTATGTTTTATATTTTAATAAGCGGGCTTTTGGAAAGGAACACTTGATATCAACAATTGATCGAGTGAAAGCTGCAAACCCGGCGTTGGAGGAGCATATCAGGACGTAAACGGAATTAAATTAAATTAAATTCTGAGGTGAGAAAATGCGTATTTGGAAGTAATGAGGCAAGAACGTTTTCAAAGAGGCCGTATTGACACAAATTCAAAAGATGATCCAAATGGGTACATTCTCCGCCTCAACCTTTTAATTCACCCATGGGTGTCTTTGGAAAGCTGGCATAAATAACAAATTTGCTGTGATCTCGTTTTCAAAGGATTTGGAGAATAACCTGTCGCGCCTTGAATCAAACAAGGCAAAGCTGGAAAGAACGCTGAAGAAGAACCGGAAATTTACAGGCTCTTTGGTCTTATGAGCTAGGGCTTAATTAAATCCGATATACCA